ATATTAAACCAACCGGCAGGGCAGTAGGCTGTAGCATCTCGATACCATTCTGCAACAAGTTCTGGAAGCACCCATCATTTCTCAAATCAACACATAACAAACCATCCACGCACGCCATCATGAGAGGAATGGTAATTCTGAGAAATGCAGGGATTAGCAAACGCACGCAACTGACCTATTCGCAAAAAATCCCCCATGTGCGGAACCGTTGAGAGAACCCCGGCATTGGTTCTTACGCGGCTGCCCCGACTAGTGCACCAGCAACGGCTGCTGCTGCTGTAGCTTGTGGCGATTACCCCGCCCTTCTGACCACCTTTCTTCCCCTTTTCCTTACCCTTACCTTTCTAAGATTCACTAAACGCTTACCTTACCTTTTAAGAACTAGCTCTCCCACATACAAGAATTTGCAAGTTTCCAAAATCCAGTAATATAATAAAAACAATTCCGTTTTTCGCTCTTGCTGCCCTCACTACTCTGTGCTAGAAATGCTAATGGTCCGGCCTATTTCTCCTAACTCTCTTTCTCTTCTTTCTTGTTTTTCTTTGATTTCTTACTCCGATCTGCTTTATCCCTGGAATGCTACTGTTTGGCTTGTTCTTAGGGATGCTCTAACTTGTCTTAGCAGAACTAGCACGTGGGGTTGTCGGTTTGGCCTACAACTAAACCATTAATCCGTCTTTAATCCTTTCGGCAAGGTCGTATAATTCAGATCGATTTTCACAACGTTCCTTCAGCTCATCATGAACGGCATCCCAAAGCCATTGAAATACACGTCTGTGTAAGCTCCTTGAAGCATCCCGAATCTTGTTTATGATCCTTAAGAAACATGGCATCCGCTTAATTTCATGCCAGAATTAATGGAACATTATAGCCTCAATCGGACGATCGTCTATCTTGAGTCCGTTCTTAATATACCTTACCTTGTTGGTTAATAAATACCTAAACGTTATTTAAATAATTACCTTCAAATTTCAACTCTAACAAGTGCATCTGCCCGAATACAACTCCGCTAGCGCCCGCCGAGAAATGTTAAAACAACAAATTCAACAAAGGTACGCCCTTTGGCCCTTACCCACGAAATGCACATGCTTCAACATAGGAACTGCACTTAGCAACCAACTCGGAGTTTGTTGCCAAGACATTAGTTTGGATGAATTCTGCAGCAACATACTTGTTAAACCGAGTGAACACGACCGAGTTATACAATGCTTCACGGAACCTTTTCCCCCAATCCCTTCGAAACAATGCGATACGTACGTACTTGGCGAGCACATCACCGTCGGTTATATCGATGCGAGACACAGAGGCAATAAACACATTTTGCCACTCCGAATCAACAGACACTTTGTAACTTTAACAAGCTTCAAGTTCTTTTCCTTGTAAACCCCATCTTTATTATCGGAATATATGTTTTAAGCCCCATGTACTATTCCCTGAATAGAAACAAAAACGGGATGGCTTCTTTCTTTTGCTCCGACGACCCTTACTATCACGACTTAAGTTAGAACCAAATTCGGAGTTAGAATCATGCACACTTTCGCTCGTCTTCGTCATAATCGGCAAACCCTCCATCAACTAGATCCACACCTAAAGATTTTTGGACCGTTGCCGACAGTGACCTATACGCGGCTTCCGGCCGCATGAGGATCACCTCTTGAGGTCGGAAACTGAACGGCATGTGCATTTGAGTCCGCGTCATTATAGTTTCTGGCAAGGAGGTCATATTTTTAGGGCTCACTGCAAGGGTGCTTTAGTCCCTTGGTCTGGAACATAACCCTTTTGCACCGACTCATTGAGACTTTTAAAAAGAACCTCTGCTTGTGCAAGCCTTTCTGACAACTCCCTGATAGCATGATCTCTTTGCTCAATCTCATGTCTCGCAACGTTTGGGCTTTACTCCCGATCACGAAGGGCATACCGCACTGTTTAGCATCTGATCTGTTTCATGGGCAACGTTGGGCTGCCTGATGAATGGAGGTATCCCTATCTTGCTGAACACTGTGAATCACACTAAATGCTTCCTGCCTCAAAACTTCATATTGCGCTGTCAAGGCTGCTTCCACCCTAACATTAACAAGTGCCTCGATTTGATCGGGGTCATATGTCAAGATTGCGGTCTACTTAAGCACGTTTTTTTAATATGCCTTATTATCGTTCAAGGTGCCTTCCATAGTATTTTGTGTTGCGGGGCACTCAAAACATTAGTCTAAGAAACACCAAACATAATAGGCGATTGTGGAGGCGGCATCAACTCTGGGGTTTATATCTGCCGCATAGGTGGTGGGGTCAACTGCAATGAATTACGATTTGGATCTTATCCTGCATAAGGCCATTAGAATCTGAATTGGAAGGCTGGCTTGGAGATGCACCTATGGGTATTGCCGACATTCCCGCACGAATGTCCCTTCGACTAACACGAGACCGATCGGATATCTTCTCACCTTCCGAGCACTTCATAATGCCCCTAATCATTGCCGTACCTTAGCCAAAGCTCTGCGCGTTCAGCTACTGACTGCACTTGCTCGCGCCACAATCTCCCAAGGATGATGTCCAGAAAAATTGCTATATCCATCGGCCTTGTCCTACATGCCAAAACCGGATTCGATTCTCCCAAGTATCGTTTCCAACGCTCAATGAAAGAGTCGTGGACCAAGGCTAGAAATCCTGCAGACAATGCAGTAATGACCTTTGTATCCATTTATTTCGAATACTGTCTGTCCCATCAGAACTTCAAGTAAACGAAAAAAATGCGTGCGTCCTATAAAACCGATGATGTATGCGTCTATCTAATCGACTCTTCCCTATAGCGATTCCCGACAACTACCACAATCTACAGGGTACAAAAGCCTAATTCCAATAACTACCTAACCTTTCGAAAGACGAATTCCGAAATAACGGCATTAAACTCAAGAGTGTGACACCAATCAAGAGTAACAAGCGGCCCTTGCTCCGGTATGATGCCCAAAAAGTCCGAAGGCACGTTAAATAATATCGCCAATTGCCTAATTATATATCGATTTTGTGCTATCTCAGAATTTCAAATCTCCGCTCAAAGAACCACTTGTAATACGGCCTCTCCTCGAGAAAAAACGTCCGTTCCGGTTTCCAACTGCCTCGCAAATAGTCCTACCCACAACACTCAAGAAGATGTTCTTCCTCCAAACATAACATCGATCGGTCCACCGCAAGCTGCAAAATTGGCCATGGCCATAAAAAAAACGAAAGCTCCACTAACTCCGCAACAAAAACCTATTCCTCCTTCTCCGGAACCATTTTTTACTATAATAGGCGATTAGGATTCCCGGCTCTCTTACCTTTCGTCCTAAACAACCTGTCTACTCGAAATCGGTTATCTCGCTACTACTCCGATTATAAAACACCATAAACCATACCCAATAAGATTAAAATTACTCACCCGAATCAAATAATCATTCCAAAACACAAAAAACCAAAAAAAATCCACCGCCTAAATCCATAATTCAAACTAAAAAAACCTATATTATTACGATTCCAAAACACATAATCATATTATAAATTATAAGCCAAATAAAGTAATATTATATATTTTTATTTTAAATTATATAATATTATTATTATTATATTATTTTAATATGGTGGTTGATCTAAATTCCTTTGTCTCGAAACGGCCATTCTTCGCGAATATAAAAGTTACTTTCGCGAATCTTTCGCGGATTCATCGCCGTGCTCTTTTCATTTCTCGAGTCGGAGATTCGCAGCTTTTAAGTGCCAGCGTTGTAAGCGAAATGACGATTTCCCAATTCCAGCTGTAAAGTCGCAACTTTTCATCACAGGGGTAGCACATGACGTGCGCCGGCTGGAAAGTCGCAGCTTTTCGTTCGCCGTGCAGCTCCAGCTTGAAGTCGCAGATTTCCAGTACCAAGCTAGTATACTGGCTAGATCGGCGCTCAGACTATACCTCCCCTTGCAACCGAAGCCTGCGCTTTCGCGCAGGCTTTCGCGCAGGCTTTCGCGAATCTTTCGCGGAACTTTCGCGAAACATCACCCACGTTTCAGAGCGGAAAGCCACCGACTAACACCCACAGACACACAACCACAGGCTTGCAGCACTAACCAGCCAAGCAGGGTATCAAACTGTAGCCTCACCAGGCTTAATCAGCGCAACATCAACAAAGTGTTTTAATCAGAATAAAAGGAAGGCTCAGCAGAAAAGATAAACGGTTCCACATATCATTAATTAACCGAATACAGTTACGCAAAACTTTCGCGAGAAAAAAAATTACTTTCACAATTCCATCGCGAATCTTTCGCAAAACTACCTCAACCAACACCAATGGTCACCGAATACTAAACTCCTTACAAGAAACTCCTTACAAGGACCTTTAGAACGACTCCCATATATTCATCCATCCATATTTTTTTCAATATGTTTCAAGTTCAATCCTTAATTATTATTCATTAAATCTAGTAAAAATAATATTCTATTCCATATATTTAAAACCTAAAACATAAATAAATTCATAAATAAACAAAACAACAAAACAACATTAAAAAAAATCAAATAAAATATTCATTTAATAAAAAAATATATTATATCAATATAAAATATAAAAATATACAAATTCATTCAATTCCTAAAATAATTTAAAACCTGTTTAATTAGTTTTATTCAAAAGAAAAGAATTTATTTATAATTTTATATATTTATTAATTTCAATATTTTACTCAATACACATATATTTTTAATTAAATAGTTAAATATCAATATATATCTATTATTTTTAAAATATAATTAATAATTAACTCTTTATTACAAATTATATTTTATGTAAATTAAACTAATTTATTTTATAACAAAATACTATTTAGAAACATAATCACCTCAACCAATTTAACACACCATATTTTTATTCGAAAGAATTCGGTATGTTATTCTATATGTATCTAAAATCCAACATATATATAACACACATCATGTACATACATATTGATGAACATAGTTCGATTTCCCGCATGGAGGCTTATGCGTCCTGGCAATTCGTGTGCCAATGTTTGTCGCTCTGCACTCGAATTTCGGCTGCTGTCAGTCCTTCCGCCGGTACAGGTACAAATAGCCTGAGCGGATGTCACTCGATTCCCCCCTCAAAATTTTCTGTTTTTAGTGCTGCCTTCCAAGTGCCACTGAAACTTTTGTACAGAGGTACATGGATTTGTAGATTTTTCCCCATGGGATCGTAGCGGCTGTCTTAGACTCCGACTCCAATGGGCGCAAAGCAAAGCTGCCAAGTGCCACTTGTGAAGATACAAACATGAGGTAATTTGAGGGAGCCTTAAAGCCTTCGACGATCTGGGGTCTCAGCCCAGCTCCAACGGTGGAGCTTCGGACTTGGCCACCTGATTGGATCGGGGCAGTTCAGGTGGTTTCCTGTGGTTCTCCTTGACCCCATCCAAATGGATTTCATTTTGAAAGAACGCCCCATATATGGTGTGTCTTTTTACACAAATGATTTTGTGGTTTCAAAGGGAAACCTCCTTTTCTGGATTCGAAGGTGGCCACTTCACGCTTGTTGGCTTCAGTTTTGGGCCTCTCTCGAAGAGCTGTCAGTGTTTATCGGCCAGTCGATTTAAACAGGCGGAGCCTTAAACACTAAGCCCAACACCCCTGTTCACTCTGTTCCAGCTTGAGTTTGGTTAGTTTCAAGACCTGAAATTCTTTGAGATTCTTTTGAACAGGAGCAAGCATTCCGTGCTCCAGAAGCGCTGCCGCCTCATCTCGGCAGAGTCGACAAACGCGCAACAGATTTGAAATGCCCAGCGCTCACTTGCTACAACATCGACAAGTTGTCTCTGCACTTGGTTGCCGCTTGAAATCAGAACTGAGCCAAAGAGACAATAGCCTAATAACGTAAATTCATATTGCCCCCACGGTAACAGCGCACTTGCGCGGTGAAAATTCCATGTCACAGGGAAGCTTGCATGGAGCCCCAGAGGTCAGCACTCATGGTCAAGGGTCCCTCGGTATGGATCCTCATAATCCCATCCCAAGGAATAGAAGCACCCCGCCCAATCAACAAACGCTTGCACAGAAAAAAACAAAAAAAACAATAATGGGTGGCCCTGGGTTCAGGTGGATCTTGACAAAACGAAACTAAATTTGCTTCTAAACAGAGTGCCATTTCCTTCCTGTATAAAAAGAACAAGAAACACCACCCAGGATTAAGTAAGATATTTGATTGTTCAGGCTCCTCTTCTTTTTCTGCTTCAACCGAGCGGGAGTAAGTAGGTACAGAAGGACATAGGTGTCTTTATTCATCTTTTTCTGAGGATTCTGAATACGGCTGGAGTTGGGGACGGTAGGGGAAGTCAATGGTTTAGTATGTGTTTAAAATTATCTATTCTAAATGCAGTATTCCTGGACGTATTTAAACAAACAACAAAACATACTATTATTCTTAGGGGGACCTCTGGAAGAAGCAAGAAGGCATTACTGGCTCAGTGTGCGATCATTTGTACGCATAATTCCAAACTGGGGACTGACTGATTGGTGCAAATCGTTGCCTCAAGTCTTCAAAATCATATGCCGCAGAATGTAAACCGTTGACCATTCATTTTTTGGGCGACAAACAATTGGCCATGGGTCAAAAGCCCGTACCACATTGAACATCCCAATCCCCAGTAAAATAGACTCAAATGGGTGGTACATTTTTTTTCTAATGGTACCATTGGTCTTGACCCACGGCCAATTGGGTTGGATACTGAGCTGGCCTTGGCGTCATCGAAAATCACCCAGGAGTTCCCCTCTCCGCGTCTCCTGACTCGACCCGCGATCTCCAGATTGGGACCCATCCAACTCCTGGAAACCTCGAAAAGGGGTACCCTCCCATCTAGCATGGCACCCCAAAGGGTCTCTATCTATTTTCCGGATCTCTGGTGCAAGCCAGGACCTCCCAAGTTTCAATGTTAGATGCGAGGGCAATTCGAACAGGAGATCAAGGAAAGTGTTGGGCGTCCATGTTGAAACTCTCAATAGACTAGTCCAGAAAGTCAGTGTGTTTCTCGTAAATGGCACACGTCCACATCTTCTTGGTTTTGTCTTCGATCCCTGTAGGTAAAAGTGTATGCTTCAAACAAGTTTGAGCGACAAAGGTCGCACCAAAATTCAACCAGTGCTTTGTCGAGCTCCCATCAAGACGCTCTTGCGTCATGGACAGCATTACTAGGAAAATTGGGGCCATGGCCAAACCAACTAAATGGACAACCACCAGGCCAAACAAAGCCTGGAAATTCCGAGCATCTCTGAAACAAACATCTGCTCGGGAAACCACAGGTGATGACCGGTCCGCTTTTGTCCTTCTAGAAGGCAATCAGGGGCAAGCGACAAGGCCGCTATGAATTGATTCGGCATGGCCCACAAATCCCACCGTGCAGCCAAGTCGCATGTGGCAAACATAGTGCCCATGAGAGGTGTGCTTTCCAATGTGCGACACGAAGCCCAGGAGTGTGTACCTGGGCATTGCCAAGCGCGCGCATCAATTTCCATTTTTTTGGCAGAGACGGTTGCGTCATGCTCTGGGGCTTCCGCCGCGCTTCCGCAAAAAGAATCCAACAAAACACATGGGATGCTACAATAAACACGCAGCTTCTTTCGGCATCCAAAGGATCGCCAAGCACCTGCTGAGTGGCAAGCTTCGAGTGAGAGAGGCTTGAAGGCCGATGTTGGCTCAAACTGCGAGTGACTGGCGCGAGATCCTTTTCTTCAGGAAGACCCGTCGGCAAAGAGAATGACCAAAGTTCAGCGCTGGAATCCTGGGCCGCGCACTCCCCCACTCCATCTTCGTAGCTGTCCCGTGCGACCTCGAGTGCAGCACGCGCAAGGTCATTTTCCGCAGCCGGCAACACCACACAAACCACAAGGTGGGTGTCTTTTTCTAGGGGACCCCTGCCCAACATGGTTTTCCTGTTTGTTTCTCCTGAAAACCACAACGGATTCCGGGATACCATCACAAAGGACACACACACACAAATGCTTTTCTTTCTGATGGTTTCTTTTGGTTGCCCTTTGAAGCATCCTCTAAGAGGGCACATTCAAAGTAATATGTTGGACAATAAGGCTGGACAAAGGGTCATCAGCTCGCAATATCATGTTGCACAAACCTGTCCAAAACGACTGCATAGGTAACTGCTGGACTATTCCGTCGAAGGTTGTTTGCTTTTATCACCGCCTTGTAGTGCCAAGCGTCAGGCCAACACATAGTAAGCATCTCAGCACATTGCTCGTTCTCGGGCCGTAAGACATCGAGCAACATGAGTTGATCTTTCCATCAGGAGTCAAGCCACGATTTCTTCAACCTTCGCTGGGCTCAACACAATTTTCGTCAGGAAGCGCAGTGCAACCGTTCGCAACTCTGAGTGTGGCCACCTGTGCTTCCCACCACTCCAATCAGAATCCTGGTAAGCAAACTCACAAACTGTGATCGTTGAGAAGCTCGCTCTAGGCAACAACAAACTTGTCAAAACGGGGGATCCGCAAAACATGTGTGTGTGTGTGGCTCAAAATTAACCAGCTAGGGTACGCAGATTTTAGTCGTTGGTTCCATTTACCAAGGTTTTAATTTTGGTACATTTATTTGAGCCACAGGCATGTGTTTTTCCTTTTATCCAAACACACACCAAAACGGCCCCAAAGGGAAGAATACACTGAGAAGCCCAGCGCTTGCGCCGCCGCCACTGTCATTGGTGCCCCCATTGACAGCAGCCACCGCTGCTTCTAAGTCATCAGCATGCGAAAAAAGCCTCGGCCACGCATCGTCTCAAGTAGGCGAATTGAAAAAAATGATCCAGCCGGATGGAAGATGCCATCAAGAAGAAACAGGTGGAAACCGGCCAAATCGCACGAGGTTTAGGTTGACTACCCCCAACACAACCCCTTGGTGGGAAGACTATGTTGGGCCGGAAACTGGGTGCCCCTCGCAACTCAGGCCACAAGGTCCATGCCTTTCCAGTGAGACAAACCCACTGGGAAAGCTTGACACCTTCGGCTGGAAAGAACCCTGAAGGTTTCTCAAAACTGGGCTGCCCCAAAACGGGCCCTTTTCCTCCAGCTTCCGTCTGACCACCAGCCCAATGCAGGGTGCATCTTGAGAAGCCCCATCTTGGCTCGGCCCTTATCATGGGCCTCCTTCCTTTGCACGGGGATCGGAGGCTCGCTCTAAGGGTCCACGCCAATCAGCAGCCCTCTCGACGCTGTTCATGCACCTAGCTCCACCCGGAACCCATGACGCCTGCGTGCGAACTCTATCCCCAACCCTCTTTGATCATTTTGCCTTAGTTCCTTTGAAGTACCAGTACAGTCGGGATCTGCACCCATCCGATTTTGAAGACTCGTCCCATCTCGTCCCCGTGCGTCGCATGCTCGGCCCCCTGGCGACTTGAGAGCGGCGTGCACGTGCTCTTGGGCAAAGCCCATGGAGCACAGCATGGAAACCGCCTCTGGGTCTGGCCTCGATGTCGGGGGGGGTCAAACAGTCGTGACCCCGTCCGCGAGAACTGTTGGTTGTTCAAACCGAAGAAACGCAAGAGGCGAAGGTCTGACCTCAAGACCATGTTGGATGAGTGTTCATGCTGGCACCCTAGCGCAACCAAATGTGACACAAGCGGCCAAGAGATGGTATGTGGTCTAAAGAGTCTAAAGCTATGCTAGGCTGCCAGGGGTTGGCATGACTTGAACTCGTCAAGTCGCTGTTTGCCCGGCCTTCTATGAGGCTCCAAGGCCCCGGCGTGCCGGCGCCCGGCGTGGCGGCCGCACCGGTCGGGGCTCCTATGGGATCAGAGGCGAATGTAATGGGGAAAACTCCGAAAGGTCCAGATCTGGTCGTGTCCGTTGCTCGGTTCGGAACCCTAATCCCTAAGCAGGTCAAAGACTATGGCACTGGACGCAAGGTGGGTTTTCGCCAACCCAAGATTTCGCAGGACTCTTCCCAACAGATCTTGGTCTCTCGAAATTCCCAATGAACCTGTGCCGCGTCATGCGAATGTCCGCGCTGCTGCACGTTCAACAACCAGCAAAGCGCATCTTCCCCGGTGCCCCGTGCCATCTCTTGCCAAGCACGTCACTGGAGAGCTTCCCTAATATGCTCATTCTTCCAGGATGGGCTGCAATGAGTTTCCCTCTTGGCGCTCCCTCAAACAGTCCGGCGAACAAAACACCGCCTGCCTCGGCCTGTACCCTTGCAACTGTCAGCTGCCAACATTGACACAAGCTTGGAGTTGAAGCAATGGTCACGTCTGTCTGAAAACGCTGTTTGAACTTGTGGCGCTAAACCAGTGCTGTGCTGAGGCGAGCCTATAGCACAGAACACATACAGCACTTGCCCCCGCGCACACATGGATCAGTGCACCTTCGAGTGTGGGCCTAGCAAGCACTACACTGAACCCAACAAAAACACCCAAACACTTGCTTCGGCTTGGCTGTCCTTCCAGAGGGGCATTGATGTCTGCATCATCAACGTGCTCGAAATACCTCTCAAACAAGCCGCGCATGAGTTCAGCCTCTTGACTTGGCGGAGAGAAATTGGCAGTGAGCGAGCCCTCTCATGCCTGCTTGACTGTGACGTGTTGGGTGTATATAACCTATAACCTACACGTAGACATGCGGGTCACAATCAAACCTGGGGCCGCGCCAATTTGTGGGGTCTGTCCTTACTCACCTTCACTTACCCCGGTTTTGATTGTACCCTTTCCATGGGCCAACAGCGCCAAATTTTGCTTCCATGAGTCAACACATCTCTCAATTGATCCTCATGTACCCAACTTTAGGCCTGAAAATTGGGGAGGGCTCAGAATTCTGGACCCTTCACTGGAGATGAAGGGTCATCTGCTCTTCGACAACTGTCTCTTTGAGTTCGTGTTTGCTTTGTCGATTGCATTCTCTTCCCCATATCAAATGCCCCCCCCCCCCAAACATTGTTGTTTAGAAACACATTTACTAAACGGGTCCTAGGGGTCCCCTCTTTGCTCTCTAGGAAAGTGTACCAGTTGCCAAAGGAGGAGTAGAAATGCAACCCTTGCAATGAATTGCAGACTAGTGTGCTTGTTGTTGCAAATTCGAATTGATTCTGCGCCTCATGTCTTCCTCTTTGTGGTGGATAGCAGTTGAACAGCATTGGTTTAGAACTGGATCAATCAAAAGTAAAATGGGTGAGGTGACTGTTTTCGTTTGTTGCCTCACAAAACATTTCATTTAATGGATTTATTGATAGGAGCAGAAAGGACATCCGTTCATTTGTTATATCCCCCAGACACAAAGGGCGAGGAGCACGGTATGCTCAAATGTGTTTGTTGCGTGCCCCTGTTGCGCCCCACTGTTTGCGCCGCCTTGTCTTGATTTGGGAGTCGCAAGTGGTGGCAGTCATCTCACAGCGGTGAGAGCGCTGTGCTGGGAAATTTTCTCAGGCGCTGATTGGGTGCATGGGAATGCATGCCAATGAAGATCTTGAGGAAGAAAAGGAAAGGCTGGCATGAATGAAACTTGTTCGGCAGCCTTGATCGGCATGCTGATGAAGGGATCAATGCCAGCGTGAAGGGATCAATCCCAAAGTCGCCACAAGCAACGACCGCCGCACGTCCTGACAGCAAACGGCCAAGAGCAAATCCCTTGCGAGCGCTCGCTGGCAAGAGGATCTTCAAGTTTGGCTTCGGTGCAATGCACACTGGCAGACGCTGAATCCAAGGTTGTATCACACCAAGTCTGGGTCCAACGTTGCTGCGCTTTAAGTCAAGGCCACATGCTCCTCATGATGCTATCCAATTCTTCTCCTGACAGCCGATACCTCTTTCCGAGCCTGAGGTGTGCGACAAGAACCAGGTGAGCCCAAGAGTTCCCCAGCAGTGAACTGGCACTCATCGGAGCTGTATGGGTAAGGCACTGCATCTAGGGTGTGATCTGCGGTCAGCGAGTGCTGAGATTCTCGGGCTTGGTAGCTGCTTGACAAGCAGGCTTCCCCTGTAAGCAACCAAAATTGAGCAAACTTCGCGAAAGCATTCGATTTCCTGTGGTGGGGCTGAAATTCCGCCACCCGTGTAATTTTATCGAAGTGTGTCTTGTTGGCATCACCTTTTGGATGCGGAGCGGAGTTGGTGCTATAATTTCACGCGTCAAGGATCTGGTCAGGGACGCGTTTTCCCAGATTGGTGCGTAAATAGTCTTCTGACGTGTGCTAAGGATTTTAGTCCTGAACATTCGTGGTTTGAGATGGTTACATCTTATTCAAATAGTTTGAGAAATTGTTGCTTCTCATTTTCTTCCCGAAGTTGAATGATTTGTTCAAAGGAGGTTGACACACTCAAAACATCCCGAAGTGCTGGAAGCTGACAATTCAAACATGCGCACCCACCCATCTCACGAAGCTGCGGACACGCCAAGTCATTTAGCTCCAACACCACTTGCTGACAGAGTAATCGCCCCGCATTGCCATTTGAGCAGCAACCGTGCCCCGTCCATTCAAGCCGCTGGTCTAGATTTCATGACCAAGCCTAGCCACTGAAGCATATGAGGAGCGGACGAAACCCTTTACTTGGCCTTAGTACTTTTTTTAACGTCATCGTTTTTGGGGGAGACCTCATCGTTTTACAGTGTTTTCGAACTTTGGCAGATCCGGCTCCAAAATCGCAACTTTGTAGTACAAGTCTAGTACGCGAAGTACACTTCCGCATCTCCAGCTCGATCATCGCAACTTTGTAGTACAAGTCTAGTACACGAAGTACACTTCCGCATCTCCAGCTCGATCATCGCAACTTTGTAGTACAAGTCTAGTACACGAAGTACACTTCCGCATCTCAGCTCGAAAATCGTAACTTTGTAGTACAAGTCTAGTACGCGAAGTACACTTCCGCAGCTCCAGCTCGAAAATCGCAACTTTGTAGTACAAGTCTAGTACGCGAAGTACACTTCCGCAGCTCCAGCTCGAAAATCGCAACTTTGTAGTACAAGTCTAGTACGCGAAGTACACTTCCGCAGCTCCAGCTCGAAAATCGCAACTTTGTAGTACAAGTCTAGTACGCGAAGTACACTTCCGCATCTCCAGCTCGAAAATCGCAACTTTGTAGTACAAGTCTAGTACGCGAAGTACACTTCCGCAGCTCCAGCTCGAAAATCGCAACTTTGTAGTACAAGTCTAGTACGCGAAGTACACTTCCGCATCTCCAGCTCGAAAATCGCAACTTTGTAGTACAAGTCTAGTACGCGAAGTACACTTCCGCATCTCCAGCTCGAAAATCGCAACTTTGTAGTACAAGTCTAGTACGCGAAGTACACTTCCGCAGCTCCAGCTCGAAAATCGCAACTTTGTAGTACAAGTCTAGTACGCGAAGTACACTTCCGCATCTCCAGCTCGAAAATCGCAACTTTGTAGTACAAGTCTAGTACGCGAAGTACACTTCCGCATCTCCAGCTCGAAAATCGCAACTTTGTAGTACAAGTCTAGTACGCGAAGTACACTTCCGCAGCTCCAGCTCGAAAATCGCAACTTTGTAGTACAAGTCTAGTACGCGAAGTACACTTCCGCAGCTCCAGCTCGAAAATCGCAACTTTGTAGTACAAGTCTAGTACGCGAAGTACTTCCGCAGCTCCAGCTCGAAAATCAAGTCTAGTACAAGTACACTTTCCAGCTCGAAAATCGCAACTTTGTAGTACAAGTCTAGTACGCGAAGTACACTTCCGCATCTCCAGCTCGAAAATTTGTAGTACAAGTCTAGTACTTTGTAGCTCGAAAATCGCAACTTTGTAGTAGTACGCGAAGTACACTTCCGCATCTCCAGCTCGAAGCAACTTTGTAGTACAAGTCTAGTACTTTCCGCAAGCTCGAAAATCAACTTTGTAGTACAAGTCTAGTACGCGAAGTACACTTCCGCAGCTCCAGCTCGAAAATCGCAGCTTTGTAGTACAAGCCTAGGCTGTACGCGAAGTACACTTCCGCATCTCCAGCTCGAAAATCGCAACTTCTCAGTACAAGTGTCGTATTTACAGAGCCGTGTGTTCGTTAAGGGTCATCGTTTTTGGGGGAGACCTCATCGTTTTCCATGGTTTTGGGATGTGTTACTCAAAAGCGTGCCCCGTCTTGATAAAGTGGTCTACGCGTGTTTTGTCCGTGGCTCATATGATAGACCAAAACTTTATCGCTGACTTGAACCCTAAAGCCAGCCACAGCCTTGGTAGCCAAAGGGCGAAGATGTGGCGCCGGTAGAGGCAAAACCAATGGGGTACCCAAAGCCAGCATGCATCCCGACTTCTCCGAACCCGAAGCCTCTACGAACTTCTGCATGTGTTTGCGGCTGCGGACTTCTGCAACTCCCGCGCCCCTCGTGCAAATTCCGTGATGATGCCAGCCTTCGCGCAGCACAGCCAGAAATGCGCGCAGCTGCAATTTGACAATGCTCCCGGCACCGCCGGCTTCAACACCACTTGTCGATGGCAAAGTCATTGCAAAGCACTACCATCCGAGCAGCGCCTGCGCTGTGTCAATTCAAGCCGCAGGTCGGCATTCTGATGACCTGTGCCTAAAGTCCAGCCTCTTATGAGCTACCTGGCTGCGAAGCAAGCTCTTCAAGCAAATGTAGACCAACACGGCTTTATTTAGCTGAATCTCCATCCGCGCCACAGCCTGGAAAGCGCAATGACTGGCAAGACGCGGCGCTGCTGGCAAGGCATCACATGATATTAATCGCATGCAAAAGGTGTGTGTATGCGCAGGCAAGCAGTACCATGTCTGCCAACCACCGCAGTCTGAAGCTTGCCACGAAGTTATGGACGCAGCCAAGCTGCTTGGCTCAGGCGGATCTGTGCTTAGATCAAGTCAAGTCAACATGTCCTATGCCGCCTGCCTAGCCGTTCACGACACACGGATTTCAATCGAAGCCTTGCCCCAAGCGCAACCTCTTACAAGCTACCTTGCAGAAAGCGCGGAGGCAACTTCTGGGCCGTATCTGAAGCCTCGTCGTGCTGCAATTTGCCAAAGCTTTCGACAGAGCCAGGTCGGTCCGTTTCAAAACCCATAGATCGGACACATTAAAGGGTTCATTCAATGGGCTTCGGTGCAGCCGTGCTGCAAACCTGAAATACGCGTTTGGCAAAGGCAACGCCTGCAAACTGAAGCGCCCGGACGGGGGATTCCCCGCGGTCGCTAAATTCCAGTTTTTGAAGAATATGACTTTCCGTGAGTATTGCATCGATGTGGCTCGCAAAAAAATGCACTTGGGGTGAGCCAAGCTTAATGAAACCTGACCTATGGTTTGAATTGACAGAGCCTCTCAAATGGCAGTTCTTCATCACTTTGCAGTCAAGTGAGCAGCGACAAAAGCTGGCATGCGCAGAAGTAAATCCCCTTCAAGGAAACCTTGAAAGTAAGCCATGTGTCATGAGTTCTGGAAGGGAAGGCTTTGCGGCTTTGCGCCCTGGCTTGGGACTGCCGTGTGGCCTGAACTGCTCGAGCCCGACCACCGGAGTGAGGCTCGGGTCAGGCCCGACGCGCGCCGGAGAAGAGCAAGATGCTGGCGCAGGCAAGCGCTGCACAGTCGAGCGACTTGTGTCAACACTCAAAGGGCCGAGGCGAGCGAGGTCTGCGCTTTGCTTGAATATCTTGAATCCCGAAGCGCGCAAAAGCGCATGGATACAAGACCTGGGAGGCTGCGGTGCTGCCGGTGCTGCGAGGGAATGAACCATAATCAGACTCAAAACTCAAGCCAGCGCTACTGTGTCTGCCAACCACAAAAGCACGGCAAGCGCTTGAAGCAAATGCAGACCAATACTGCATGCCTTGAGCAGCACCCCAAGTGCCACAGCCTAAAAAGTGTAAGGGGTGCAGCCTCGCGCGCGAAACAGGGCGTGAACGAACGCATGCGCGCGCTGGCAGCACTGCCAACACTCCCACGCTTCTGAAGTGACGCCTATACTTTAATTTGCAAAGGCACAAAGGCACTGCCTGTCCGAACTGGAAGCCAACATTGCGTCACTCAAGTCACTTCTTGCGGCAGTCTGAAGCTGACTCTTGCCACAAAGTCCTGGAACTGGTTGAGTCCCACGGCTCCGCGCGTTGCTGGCAGCCATTCACTGCCTTCCGAGCGCCTGCGCCTTGTCAACTCAAGTCGCTCCAGCCGTGCTGATCAACTGTGCTCAAACTGACACCTCCTATGATTCACCTGGCTGCGCAGCAAGCTCTCGCAGCAAATGTAGACCAAGACTGCATCCATTGAGTGGAATCCTGCATGCCACTGCCTACAAAGTGCAAGGGCTGATTGAGCTGTCATTCATCAAATCAAATGGCCATGGTTCAAAACCAATGGTACCATTTTGGGATAGGTGCACCACCCATTTTAGTCTATTTTAGTGGGATTGGGACGTTCACTGGGGTACGCGGTTTTGACCCATGGCCAAGTACGTCCGTGGCATCGTCTCACGTACCGGCGTCATGCGCACATTCACCGGTATTTTGCGATGATTTTTTGCACGGCTTCTGCGACGTGTAGTTTCCTTCTCCTTTTCTTGTCTGCTAATGCACGCTGCTTTGACCAGCGCAGCAGCCTGAATCTGAAGCTTGCCAGGAAGTCCTGGGAGGCCCGAGCGCAAGCATCGCGAGCACCAATTCGTGAGAGCCTGAAGCTTTAGACGTCAACTCCCATCTCTTTGAGGCTGCGCGGCTTGCGCTGCCTGCTCTCTCTGGTCTTACCCAAACGAACTGCGGCGACAATCGCAACGAACTTGGCGTGCCTTGGGAGTGAAGCTTGGGGCAATGACACACACCCGAGACAAGTAAGATGCTCGTGCAGGCATCTGGACAGTGTCTAGGCCCTGGAACAGGCTGGGATGGGACGCGCGAGTGCTGAGTCGCAGCCTTGGAAGCTGTTTGCCAGACTCCGCAATGCTGGTCTCTCTGAGCACAGGCGGCTTGCTCCATCACACATGGCACAGCATCTGAGCAGCACCTTCGCCCTGTCAATTTCCATGGCATTATTGGGCACCTATGGGGCCTTTCGGGCTTTGTTGGGCCCCCCTCTGCATGAAGGATTTGGATGAGACAACTTCGCGCGTTTCTTATTTTGCCCAACCAACTGGACTCCAAATAATGATTTAGCTGGCCAAGTGCAGGACGTGCAATTTCCCTGAATTTGACCACTGCCCCAAATTCAACAAAATTGCCGCAACTTGCATTACACAATTTGTGTAGAAATCCTTTCTCAGCCAGTGGGAGTTAGGCTAGGGCCATTGGGCCTATTGGCGTGCTGGGTCCGCTCCTGCGTGGGCGCATATGTTTTTGTCCAGCTCGTGCGAGGGAATGCAGGCAGGCTAGCCCACAGGGGCTACAAAGCGGCACCCGGCCGAACAACCGGATGGAAATGGCCGGTGGCTTGGATAGTTGACCCAAACGCCAAGGCAAAGTGACAGTTCTAGCTTTTTTAGTCGGCCCCCTCTTGGTGGCCTTCCATGGTTCACGAAATGCCAGGCTTGATTTCGAAGCGAGATGCTACGAGCCCCAGGTTTCGAAGGTTCAGGTTTGGCGAACCTCCAAAGTTCAAGCCCACTTGAGTCTCGACGCGCGGGGCTGGGAATTCTGCCTTGAGATACTCACTGAGCAGCAGATTTACTCCTGGTTGTGTTGTTGCACCAGCTGAAAGGTTGGCACATAGCCCAAACGCCGAACAAGCACGTCTTGAACCAACAAATACGCGTTCATATTGTAACCCAGGAAGAAAAGCTCGTGTAGCTCCATTTGGGCATGTAGGGGCCCATGCCTCTTCGAGTCAAGGTGTAGCATGTCCGAATTGCATAGGTCAGTACTGCCCATCGGCTCGAGCCAAACGTCTCGGTTGATGATCCTGTGTCTTTCCTTTTTCTGTTCGCACTGTCTGGGGTGTGCAGTATTCTTGGCACTTCTTCCACTTCAAGAAAAGCCTAGCCATCTGTCAGTCCTTGAAACCATCTATATTTCGAACCCCAAATCTGTTCCAGTGTTGGCGTTACGTTCTTGCTGGCTTGCAAACATGCTCAACCTACCCATGTTTTCCAGCCTAGGGTCTTAGAGCAGCTTTGTGTTGCGAGCCATTCCGGTCCGAGGCGAACCCGAGTTGTGTTTGTTACTGGAACAATGACAACGTTGCTGGACCACTCATAGACTCTCAATGGGACCAACGCCACATCGCGTTAGGTATCAACACCGACCAAGAATTGCGGGATCTCAACATCCGAAGCCACCCCGTGCCTGAGCCAATCTTTGCTTAATTCCGTGCGGCATATGGCATATATACCATGTCAAGACGATCTTGGAGCCACACTTTGTGTCAAGAGCGGCGAGAGCTGGGTATGGTTGGGACTCTAACCAGAAGGCAACAAAACCCAGCACTGCCCCCACGTCCGTCACGCAGCATGCCAACAGGTAGTTTCCTTGAACAAGCTCCTGCATCGCTCCGCACATTCACTATACATCTCCTCAGTATGCCAGCTCCAAAAACAAGTCTGCAAATTCATTCTTGGGAAACGACACAGAAGACACACGCCCAGTGGCCATGGAAAGAAAAAGGGGCATCCTTATTTGGTCGGTTGAGGTTTGAGGGGAATCCCTCCCCAAAAAAAGGACAAACAAAACGGCCCCCCCAAGCCCCGCACCAGGAGACAGCCGCATCTGCCGAGTTGTTGGTCGCCAGGAGTGCCCGCTTTGCCTGGATTCGACCCAGCTTGCAGTACTTGTTTCCCCTAAGGCACAGAAGTGTTGCTCTGAAGCAACCCCAAAAGATGGGTACTTTCAGAACAGCCCCCCAAACTGGGAGCTGGGCAGTTCTGCAGTTCTACAGTCTGGGCCATGGAAGCCCTTTACAGTGTTGCAGGTTACCATAGGGGATGGTTTCACCTCGGGTCATTCCTTGATTCCCTGAGAACCATTTTCCGTGCTTCCGGCCGCATTCTCACCGAGGCCCATCGAAAGCAGCTGCGCCTCAGTCGAACATCTGCTTGACAAAGCATGGGAAGGTGGAGGCATCGACAGACGCAGACAGATTGAGATCTTTGGGGGTGGGCAAATCAACCAGTGCGAGATCATCGAACCTGATGTCGGGCCAAACCGACCACCACCGCAATAGACACGCACACGTGTCTCATGTTTCCTTCAAACAAAAGAGGGATGAAACGCCAACACAAACCACGCTACGCTGGTGCGTTGATTGGGCAGCACTCATGTTCCACGACAAGCAACATACCCAGTAGGCGGAAACAAACGAATTTGCTGTTTGGCACTCCCTCTCGGCACTCGGCCACGGCAGTCTCATCTACTGCAGGAACAGCTGCGACTGGCCTGAGTGTTCTGGCAGGGATTTCGATCACTCAGCTGCAGAGGCATGGATATGAAATGATTTTGAATAATTTGGAGGGTGTTGCCTTTTTTACAAGAAGGCCAGCATTGCAAGGCAAGTGACGTGATTTTTTCTGATCAATACCAGGGCTAAAGCAGAGGCGGCGCTCAAGGCTTTTGCTCCATGGCGATTGCGCTGCGTGCGCAAATGATTGTGCGACCCAAGAGTGACTCAAGAGGGCCCGCGTAGGGGCGTCCAAGCCAAAATGGCGTGCATATGTATGCGATCAGCCAACTGTACTGCAACTTGATGAGGCCAAAGGCAAATGCCAGGCCGAAATTCACACTGGTCATTTTTTCTTTGACCGATCAGCGGCTCTCAGTTGAGGTCATGGATCACGAAGCTTCAAGTCCACCTTGGTGAGGCCGCCCGCGTGCTGCAGAGAAGTCGGTACTCAATGGTACATGCGAGGGGCGATGGTCTCCTGGGCTCGCACATTGATGAGTGGGCGCTTATCCGTGAGATTGCTGCCCTCGGAGATCACGCTGTCGTAAAGCGACTTCGCGCCCGTGGCCTGCAAGTAGTGCGTCTTCGAGCCAAGGCGATGCGCCGGCTCGTTGTAGATGATCTGAGAGATCATCATGTTGAGGAAGGCCGAGCGATCAGCTCCCTCGTCAGCTGCCACGGCCTCCGCGGCCAGAGTGGATTTTGCGACGCTGGGTCTCCGAAAGGAACGCGAAGTCCAAGATGCTGGTGGGCTTGATCGCCTCAGAGACGTTCTTGACCGTCAGCGTCACCAGCACCCAACTGGTCCGTACTGCGGGCTGAGTTTGCCCATGAGGCGTCCTTATACGTCAACAGCGTCGAGTCGCCGTCGAAGGGCGCGTCCTGGATGGTGAGGCCCTCGTCAGGATTTGTTGATTTCCATTTGACACCTCTGCGCGGCCCCTTCAAAAAGTTCCAATCAAGGGTGTCCTCGTTGTCCTTGGCGTTGACGAGCTGCTGCTTGAGGGCGCCGAGAAGGCGACCATCATTCTTGTCGGTGATCAATCTTTGAGAGGGAGGAGAAGCCTGTACCTGTACGGCGTTCTGAGCGGTTGTTTGACGCGCTGGCTGGATGAGGTGGTACAGGTCGAAGTGTGTCGGGGTCGACAATTGGGTCGTTGGTCGGTACTTCTGATAGGAGTTGTCCATGATCTTCACCCTGCGGGTCCTCGGGAGCAGCAGAACGGTTCGACCGCGAAGAAGCCCGGGACTCACCACATCCTGAGTGGCGGCCCGCGTGGGCTGGTCAGTCTGGTATACTCCAACATCATCAAGGCTGAAGTTCAGCTCACCGCGCCGCAAGCATCTCCAAAAGGTCGCCAAGCCAAAAGGCTGCGAATCGATGTCCTCCTCCTCAAACATTGAGAAGGTCACACCGGCACACAGGCCTCGAGACAGGCTCCGGTGCCTAGTGATCCAACCCGGGGCTAAAGCAGAGGCGGCGCTCAAGGCTTTTGCTCCATGGCGATTGCGCTGCGTGCGCAAATGATTATGCGACTCAAGAGGGCCCCGCCTAGGGGCGTCCAAGCCAAAATGGCGTGCATATGTATGCGATCGGTCAACTGTACTGCAACCTGATGAGGCCTAAGGCAACTGCCAGGCCGAAATTCACAGTTTTGGTCGAGTCACGCAGGGTTCTTGCTTCTCTGCTGTTGAAACTGTGGAAGACGAGTATCGCGGAACATGTCCAACAAATGTCAAGTTCATGCGCCAACGCTCACCCGCTGTTTTTGTAGAAGCAACTGATGTCCTAGCTTGTGGCTTGCTCATTGGCGCCAAGTCAGAATCCCCACATTGACAGGTCGGTGGACTTCCTGCGGGGTTGATCAATATTCCTTTTCGGGCCCCAACATGACCATGTCTTAGTCTTGTTCCCCATTAGTGGGTGATTTTTTTTGGCGGCTTGCCCCCCAGTAAAGGACCTTTTGATCAACCCCTACATGCACCATAGCTCTCATGTACCATGGCAAACAGTCAGCTCGATAAGCCGGCCGATTCCCTTAACGGTTGTTCCCCGGTTGGTTTTTGCTGGGCTTGAGTTTAAGGTTGGTTTTCCGGGTGGTTCGGGATTAGTTAAAGCTGGGTTTAGAGTGGGTTTAGGATTGGGCTAGGGTTGGCTCAGGGTTGAGGGTTGGTTTTGGGTCGGTGGGTCTGTTCAGGGTTGGTTTAGGTTGGGCTTAGGGTGCATTAAGGTTAGATTAGGGTGGGATTGGGGTTTAGGTGGGTTTAGGGTGGGTTTCTTGTTGGCTTAGGCTAAGCATAAGGTGTCGGGTGGGATTACGGTTGGATCAAGGGTTTAGAGTTCGTGTAGGGTGGGTTTAGGGTGGGTTCAGGACTGGCTTGTTGGTCTAGGGTGGGTTTAGTTTGTTAGAGCTGGTTCAGGGTCGGTTTGGGATTGGTTACGGGTGGGTCATGTTTGCTTTAGGGTGGTTTCGAGTAGGTCTGTGGTGGTGTAGGGTGGGTGTAGCTTGGCTTGGGGTGGGTTTAGGGTTGGACAAGAGATGTTTCTGGTTCGCTTAGGGCGCGTTTAGCGTGATTTTGTGTAGGGTGGGTTTGGGCGTGTTTGGCTGGTTTGAGATTGATTTAGAGATATTGAGGGTTGGCAACATTTGGCTTAGGGCGGGCCTAGGGTTGGTTTGGGTTGGGTTGGGTGCGGGGCGGGCTTAGGTTGTTTTAGGAGAGAAACAAGGTTGCGGGGTGAAACAAGCAAGCTCGCGGGTGAAAAAAGCAAGGCCGAGGGTGAAAAAAACAAGGCAGAGGGTGAAAAAAACAAGGTGAGGGGTTGAAAAGAAAGGATTTCTCAGGGTTGGAGAAACAAGTTTCCGCAGACGGTTCCCAAGCAGGGTTTGAGGGTTGAAAAAAAGATGGAAGGGTTAAAAACACAAGTTCGGAGGGCGAAAAACAAAAAAAAGGGAGCCCCCAAACAAAGTGGCACTTTAAAACGGGCCTGAGGGAAGCTTCCTTTGAGTTGGGTGACGTACCCATCCCAAGCCAGCAGAAAAAGCACCGGTTGCAATCTGAGACCCTGGCGGGGGAGCAACCTCTTCCGGAAGCTCCTCCTCGCCTGGAGCTCAATGCGAAATGTCGGTGCCCGGCCTTCGCTGGGCACCTCCCAAGTTCCAAATGTTGACTTATACTCAGATGCTTTCCATGGAAAAAAGGCATCCTCTTTTTTGGTTGGTTGACTTTAAAGGGGAACCCTTTGCCAACAGAAAGGAAAAAAGGGCACTGGGCAGCTGGGAATATCAACCGATTGGTCCACCTGGATCTTGGCGCTTTTCCAAGCTTCGAATTCACCAAACAAACCCCCAAACCTCACCTTTGACCAAACCTCACCTTTGACCAAACACCTCACCGTTGCCCGCTGGCCGCAGTCCCCGGTCCACCCGTCCACCCGTCCACCCGTCCTGTCTGCAGGCCCTTCCCTCGAAGCTGCTCCAGGTTCAGGGTCTCGGGCCTTCGCAGTCGAAGCGCCTGTGTCAACATAGTTCGGTCCTTTTGGCTTTTCCGATCAAACATTCCACTGGGGTACCCCCAAAAAGGCAACCACACAATGGAAAAAGAAAAACAAACCAAGTGACTTGCAATCACACTTGGCACTAAAGGGGGAGACTAAAGGCTAACCAAACCATCCAAACCACGCGCTAACTTGCTGTGAGTTTTCCAATTCCATTTTTGAACCCACAGATCTGGGGAATACAGTCCCTCAGACTAACATGGAAGCTCCAAGTAGGCCTCTGTATACGGAGCCAAGTCTTCCAAAAAAAGTCCTGGGAGCTTCCATGGAATCGCCTGGCAAAGGGTACCTGTGATGGCCATTTCCTTTTCGTCTCCCCACCCGCTGCTTCACTCTGGGTGCCGGACATGGGCACCTGGCTGGACACTCGGGATATGGTCAAAAGACAGAGCCTATGGGTACAATCAGGGACGAGAAGTGATAAACAACCGTCGGCACTCCGCCGAAATGTCCATATCCGTTGGGGAGAGAGTAAACTTGACCGCGGCTCACATCTATACATATATATATATATAAGTATATATATATATAACAATAATAGTAATAATAATAGTAATAATAATAATAATAATAATAATAATAATAATAATAATAATAATAATAATAATAATAATAATAATAATAATAATAATAATCAATAATAATACCTAATAATAACTAATAATAAATAATAATAAATAATAATAAATAATAATAAATAATAATAATAATAGTAATAAAAATAATAATAATAATGATAATAATAATAATAAATAATAAATAATACATAATACATAATAAATAATAATAAATAATAATAATAATAATAATAATAATAATACTACTACTACTACTAATAATAATAATAATAATAATAATAATAATAATAATAATTTCAAATAAATAATACTAATAATAATACTAATACTAATAATATATATATATATATTGATTATTATGATATGATATGATATGATATGATATGATATGAAAGGGTATGATATGACAGGACATATTTTAATTATGTAGTATCAGCAGCCTCTCTGTGGGTCAGGCTTCGTTTTCCCTACGGCTACAGCCATCTCTGGGCCGGGCTACCGCTTTGGCAAGGACCGAGACAACACGCTACGGAAGGCCCCGATGCCTACGCATCGCCTCGGAGCCTGCGCAAAGCTGCCTACAAAGGATTTTCTTGACAGCCTACGCGAATATACCTACTCTGTGCCGAGAATCATGTGGCTGCTGCATGGAAAACTTGGCCAGTTCCGGACATTTAGTGAGTTTCCCCTTCTCGTCCCTCCTGAATAGAGGTTAGGCTCCGTGTGTCCTCTCTCTCAACACGATCATCTCCCAGCGTGCCTTGCAATCCAGCTTCGCAGGGCACCACTTCTCGTCGACATAGTACCGCTGCAATTGCACGATCAAGTACCTGCCAGCGGCTTTGCCTTGCCCCTGGATTTCCTGCCGACTCGTACACGACCATCAGATGGATAGTGCCTGTTCAAAAGGACCGACCTCCTGGAACCCCAAAAGCCCGGCGCGCCGTGGCATCGTGGCCAGCCGTGTCCTGGCAAGAGTCCAGTTTCGAGAGCAAGGATCCGAGTGCTTTGTGCAACATGGTTGACGCAATTTGTCTGGTATTTGGAGGAAAGCCAAATCCCTTTTATTGGCGTTCCATGACTTTCCTGCTTTGCTGACAGCGTAATTAATATAAATAGTTGCCACACCACACAGCAACTAGACGGAAGATGAGCACACGACAAGGACAAGAGTACACTCCCTAATTGGACCTGAATTCCTGTGAAAGCCCATGATGAATAGATGTGAGTGCTTCTTCTGCTTACACAAACTAATCTTCCTTGGAGTTGAGATTGCTTGGAGACTTGTGTTCTGAATGCTTGGAATGTGAATGATAATAAGATTAAGCAACTATACTAAAAGGAAACAACCCACTTCAATTGCTCCCTATTTTGATACACTCCATCGTTCTAGTTTCCTTTTCGCTCCTCCCAACCCAAACGGGGCTCACACCCGTACTAGTCCTCATCAAGCAGGGTTGTTCGAGGAATCACCGGCCGCGCGCCGGAAGACACTCCAAGCAACCAAGGGACGTTGCAACGAAATCCAACAGTCAGTTGGAACCCCGCGAAGTGGTGGACACATACCTGATGTGGGGGCGCAACCGTTTAAAATCAACATGAGATCCATCTTCCCGCTCCCAGTGAAAGACTCCGTGGGTGGCACCGACTCACCGCTTTCTTACTCTGGGCTTCCGGGCGTCTTGCAGGCGCCACCACCACGGAACTGCACCTCCTGAGCTCTGAACATGGGTCCCGGATCCTATGTAGGTGACACACAAGGGACACTGCCACTTGGAAGGATTCATAGGATTGCTGGGTTCAAAATGGGGTCCCGAATACGTACGGGACACACCTTGTAACAACCCTCTCACAGTGACACAATAGGGATTGAATGTGAACCCTGATTAATTTCCATATCAGCTTGCTCCAAAGACCCCTGGGACACCAAAGGAAACCAGACGCATTTGGCCATCTTTCAAAGCCTTGGAGTAACCTTTTGGAATGAACCACATCGCCATAAATTCACAGGAGTGTGTCAAATTGCCCGCTTCAAGTAAGCCTAAGTAAGCCCGACTGCTTGGAACAAGCGAGCTTCCACGCTGCGAACGCGACTTTATGCTTCGAGAATCTGAAGGTGATCTCAGACTGAATATGCGGGAATGTGATTGAATGCTGCCAACAAGTCACACGTGCGGTTTTGCAGCGCAGTCCTCAACTGCGCCTAGCCGCGACAAGCAGGACCTCAGCAAGCAGCATAACTTGGGTGACCCAATGTGTGCTCTTCTAACAAATGAGTTCTAGGACGTGAAACACATGATTGTCGTTTGGTGCAAGCTGGAGGTCCCCGGATGGTGGATCAGCAAAATGAACAAACGGCACGACGGCAACGGCCAAGATGTTGGGGCAAACACTTGGCACTGGGTCTGTTCAAAACTTGCTCAGAATCCACAGGCCGGAAATCCGCACCTTGTTCACCTTGCTGGTGCTCTGTCGGGAATGCGCCCTGAAAGGAAACCACCAGTTGGATGGTTTATAAGGGTCTTTCCCTCATTCCCTGCCTATCGCACCAGCAAATCACCTTCACTTTCCCAGGTCTTCATTGCCCTCTCGCCGCGCCCGGGGCCGCGGGCGCCAACTGGATCACCGCTTTGGGCTCCTCTGCACCTGAGTCGCGGTTGAAACCCAACCCCGTTTGCAGGGAGGCCTTGAAAAACACCAAGCTACAGAAGGTTCTCATCCAAGGGTTGGGCTCCAGCCTTCGGGCCCCACTCTCCTGTTGGGTTTTCCCTTTATCAGCATTCGATTCGTGGAGAAGCACCATACTCCCGGCTGCGACAAAGCAAATATCATTCCGCCTCCATCCTGGCTGCAAAGTTGTCGTAAAACAACCGATGCCTTTGGAACATGTCAAGGGGTGCTGTTTTCTTTCGATTGCTAGCTTGTGCAACCTGGATTCCATGCACATGAAACCATGCGCTTGGCCAGTGCAAGCGGGGGGGCTGAATATCAGCAAGTGTACGCAGCCCCGTATGTGCCCCCAAGCAGTCTCAGGAGCAACACACGTTCCCGATCCCCATAACAAGGATAATAAGCTTGCTGCCTGATCACTTGCGACTCAGTTGGCAAAATGCATGAGAATCACGCAACAACTCGTGGTGTCAAAATCATTCGACACTTGGGTGTGGGACCGAAAATGGACTCCTGTCACATGGAACAGTAGACTCAGACCTGCGGTCCCCTGGCTCTTTAGTTTTGTGAAGCCGCACCCATTTTATTAATTGATCATTTGCATGAGGAACTCCTCTGCCGGTGCGCCTTCAGTTTTCAGCTTCTTTGCATCCTGCCCGTCCTTCTCCTTCGCAGCCCTGTAAGCGAGGACCTGTCCGGGCTATCGTGACTCATGCAGTTGCGTGAACTCCCTGTCCCCAATGTCTCCCCAGGATTAGACAAAAGCCTTGGCTGATATTTGTTCGGTGGAAGCGACCCAATATGAAAGGGAAACACTTTTCGGGGGGCCCACTGTGAATGGACCAAATTCTGCACCACTTGGGATGGATAAACCCCGAGAATACAGTTGAAGCCCAACTGGTGAGAGTGGACTTTGTCCCATATCAACGTTCTCGCGACTCGCGATCGACACAGAGCGCCTCTTCGAGGTTCTCGGCATCTTCCAGCTTCACCTGTGCGCCCGTGGCGGCAGCGGGTATTGATCCCATAGGCACTCAAACCCTGAGCCGACTTTCGGTTCTGGTTATAAACGTTTTGATCTTGCGTTGTCCTTCTTGAAGCAGGTGTAACTACCAGCAACATGGCCTATAGCGGTTTTGGGCGCTCAGTTGCTTTGCCAAAGCTCTTTGCCCATAAACATGACTCCCAAGTAACCTTGACACACACACACACACACACACCCACACTAGCTGTCAAGGATTGGGGCATCCTTCCGAGGCTGAGGGCCAGGCTGGTATGCCAAGCATGTTTTGCCGCACCTTCATGTACCTGGGAAGCACAGGGCAAAACGTATTCCCGGTTAGGAAAGAGACATTGCTACGCTACCAATAACATTTGAATAGTGCCTCATTTCTTGTGCGCTGAGAATCGGGTTTGTCCGTTTTTTTTTGAAACCTCTGTTGGTTGGCTTTAAAGGGAATCCAAAACACGCACCACCATTTTGGGATACATTTGTGTATTTTCGGGGGGTCCTCCCCGAAAAAAGACAGACCCAGTACTGATAGGACCTTCAGTCCGTGGCCAACTCAGCTCTCCTTTTCCATACCAAGTCGCTTCACTCGTTTGCTGCCGCTGCTTTCTTGCAGTCGTTCTTCCACCTGGCATCGACTACTAGCAAGCTGCAGCGGGCCATGTGGCAGGGCCTCAAAATGAAGATTCAGTCACCCCAATCCCTGCAACTATTCAGACACATATTCTACTTTCTTAGTTGTTACTTTTATCAAGCAGCTGCGCTAGTGTGTGTGTGTGTGTGTGTGTCAAAGTAGTGTTTCTTTGACATGTGGGGCATTTCTGTTTTGAAAAAATCGGGTTGTCCTATCTTGATCAACGTTTTCTTTGTTTGTCAGTTTTGTCAAGGGCAAACACGTCACATGCCCGGACTTTCTGATGCATCGCAAGCACTGTAGCACAACCCTTACTATCCCTGACCTCTTTAGGCCCCACTAAAATGGATGTGTGTCAAAATACGGGACCCCCACAAATGCCGGCGTCCTTTCGGCTTCCCTCTTAAACCAGCCCAAAAAGGGTGCCCTCAACAAACAAACAAACAAACAAACAAACAAACACACAAACACACAAACACACAAACACAAACACAAACACAAACACGAACACACGCACACACACACAAATTGAAAAGCAAAGAAGCACGGCCACACTATGGGACAACCCTCGTGGCAAGCCTCAAAGCTGCGTCTTAACCAGCCCAAGTCGCTGCAAAGTCGAACATGGCGGTTGTTGGACCTCTGGCTTGGGCCAACTTCGAATTCCGGCAAAACTCCCCGTGTGGCTCCCATCCAAATCGCCTCGTAGGGCCATGATCCCGAATCCTAACCCGGGCATGGTCTTTTCAGCAGCGGAGGTGGCTCTAACTGAAGGCGTCAGGTCCGTTTCCCACAACGCTCGAAGACAAAAACAACATGGGGGGCTCCCCAAGCCTCAACAAGAACACTTGCGCGACACCAGAAGCCATGCACGGCCAAGATTCAAGCGTTCCTAATATCAGTGAGAAGCAAGGACTTTCCTTGCTGAAAAAAACAAAGAGTGCGTGCCTGCGACGAATCCAGAATCAAGCAAGCTGCCCCAAGAAGCGCGCGTGTGTCCTGGCCCATGTCGCCAGTCTGCGCACAAACAGGACAATGGAACTACAAACAGGGTGGAACTCCCCCCCGCCCTCAATGTCATTTCTCCGACCTTGAAAAACACACGGTTCATTTTTTGGCGGGGGGGCCGTTGTGGAGTGCAGTACAAAGGGAAGTGGCCCTTCCCTCCGTCGCCGCTTCGAACCTTCGGACCTTCGGACCTTCGGACTGCGGCCCGCGCCGCTCACCCTGGAGCCGGCGCCGCGCTCGGCGCGCGCCAACTGCTCCAGGAAGTACTGGCGGCAGTTCGCCGGACTACCCCTTCGAAATCAGTTGAGTCATAATCAAAACCCGGTAGTAAAATGGTCTAGCCAGAACCATGTAAAGAACTAAGGCGGCCGCAGCTATTTATGTCCCTGACTAACCTTCATCTACCCGGGTTTTGATTGTGACTCAGTTGAAGCCGATGAGGGTCCAGGGGGTTTTGAGGACTTTGAGGGTTGGAGGCCCTCTTCGGGCTTGTCTCAAAACATGGAAATGGACCACCAAAATGGCCATCTCCAATGGACAGGGCCCCCCGAAAAAATGGCACACCCATCTGCAAATAGTTTTTGAAACCTGAAGTACAATTGAAATTCGCTCGTTTTGCCCCTGAACCGAGACCCACCTCCTGGCTCTTACCCAACTTGCGTCCCCGAACTGTGCCCTGTTCGACGTTCACTGGGCCAGTTGTCTTGGTTTTCGGACCTTTAGAGCTTGTCTCCAACTTGCCATGTTGACCGAACGTCATGTGGGACAAGTGCCTGTAAATGAATCAACACCTCTCAAGGGCTCCTGTCCTTGACAACCTCCCAGGCAGTTTGGTGAGCATCAGCTACATTGGGAGTGACGGATTGGTGGCTAATTTGGGGGTGGTTGGGTGGCTGGCAGCTTCATCATTGGGATTTATGCCTATCATTTCTTTGTTGCACGAACAAACGCCTTCTGAGTCTGGGACCTGGAGGGGATTCAAACCCCAACCAGCAGTCGACCGCGCAACACGTGAGACTTGGGTTGGGAAGGGGCCCCCCTTTTTAACCCCTAGACTTTTGTTGCTTTTCTCAATGGTTCCCTCCTTGTCTCCTTGCGACCCGCCCCTTCCCCCTCATCTCGCCTGCACAAACTCGGCGGCATCCTGCTGCCTGGACTCCAGACAAATACTGATGGACGAAATCTGTCGGATTCATGGGTTATCCGACCCCCGCCCCCCCCCGCCGCCCCCCCCCAAAAAAAAAAGAAGAGGAGGAAAGCGAAGGATCCACTCCTGGCACGTGCCCCCCTGCAAGCCCGCCTCGAGGTGGCGAATTCCACATGCCCTCGACCAATGAGCGTGCGGAACATCTGGCAGGTGGAACACGTCGACAGGTTCACAAGGCTCTTGTTGCAAAAAAAAGAAGGTCCCCCCAAAAATGATTCCCATTGGGTTTCCTTGGGGTTTCCTTGGCTTGGGGTTTCCCTTGGGGTCCCCCAAAGGCTCTGTTGCAACATGACGTTTGGTTTCCTTTGGCTTCCCTTTAAACAGTGGCCAAGAGCTGCTGCCGGGATGGGCCTCATAACTCTCGCTGAATACATATGTTGGGAAGAGGGGGATTTTTTTTTGGGGGGGGGGCTACCGACCGAGGCTTCCCGTGATCATGCTGGTCACAGCATTAAGTCAATGCGTTGCAAGCCTGAAAGCGCTTACCCATGCCATGTCTGAATTGAACCTGCTTCAATCTTCTGAGCTGGGGCTGTTCATTCCAATGCGCAAACATCACCACAATCAAGGAAATGGTCATATGCACAACAAGGATTGACAACATAGGGAACCTCCAAAACTTGCTTTTTTGGAGGTTGTCCTCTTCTTTTCCCTTCAACACAACCCAAACCAAATTCTACCCTCGCCAAAGAGGTTCCGTTGAGAGCGCTCCGCCCCACTCCTGCGGCGCCATGACGAGCTTGGGGTCTTCTTCATCCGCCCCTTCCCTCCTCGGAACTGCTCATACTGTGGATGGACGAAATCCATTTCGCACCACCTAAGAAACCATACTTGAAAGCCCGGTTGTTGGTATTTGCAGGGAATCAGACCATTCCAGGGCTTCTTGGGTGGTGCAGGATTTCGTTTATTTATAGTAGTATTCGCGGCAAGGCTGGGGAAAAGCTCGCGTGAACAACCACCCCCGGTGCCTCTAAGATGAACCAACAGGAGGTTGCCCCATGTTTAGGAAAGGGGTTGAGCCGATAGTTCATGGGCCGGTGTGCCTGCGTCACGTTCAGCTCTAAGCACCTCACAAGGGTGGCGCATAGCGAGGCCCGTTGAGGCCATTCACGAGCTTGGCCACCTCGTGACATGTCTGCGGGCGTCGGGCGATGGGCATGAGGCGTCAGCGAGTTTGGCACTTTCAAACCATGACAACAGTACACCGAGGGTTAAATCACCACCATGGCAGGATCAGGCGGTGGCAGGGTTGAACACAGGGAAAGCAACAGGGACTCAACTGCGCTGAGTCCAGCAAACAATGCGATATGTCAGAGCAGGATCAAGGACTGACTTTGAACCACACATGATGCACAGATGCTCCGGCCTGACTCACCAAATCGTTCTGCACTTCCGCCGGCGCAGATCTTCGCATCTGGCGCCGCTGAACAGTCACACACGTGCGTGCATTTGATTCCCACATGGCCATGCTGCACGCAACTGTCCTTTTTCTGGGGTAAAATGGGTATGGACCAAAATTAATCCACCAGGAAACAGCAGGTGTTGGTCCATGTTTCCACTTACTGGGGTGCCATTTGGGGTACCTATTTTTGACCCTCGTCCAAATTGGTTTGGGACGGTTGCAACCGGAAGCAGGGAAGACTGCCATTTTGGAGGCTCTCCTTGTCAAAAGACACCCCCAGGCGACCACCTGAAAGTCCGCGTCCATGTAGTGGTTCTTCACTTCTGGCAGCGCCTCGGGGTGTGTCCGCTTCGCACCAGTTTGGCTTGGTTCATGAACCAGCATTCATAGGGCTTCATCTCTCCCAACGGGTGTGAAGTGGAACCGCACAAGGCTTCAAGCGTGTCCAACATGTCTTTGGTAACTGGGCTGTCCTCAGATCCCCCGCTAAAAGCTTAACTTTTGGAGGGGTGAAATGGAGCCTACCACTCAACCCTAAAACCTAAGGGGACAGCTGGAACCAAGGTAAGGGGACTTGGTTGCTTGTGCCGAAACCAGGGTGGCCACCCCCAACATGCATAAGATGCATCGTTCCTAAGTTCAACTCTGTTACACACAGGGTAAGTCCAAGAGAGGCCGCCGCAACCAGAAGTTTGCAAAAACAAGGCAAGAGCTGCTTCTCAGAAGGGAACGAGGAATGATACTTGCAATGGAATGATACGAATCAACCATCCCTTCACCATCCGACGGACAGATTGATTTCAGTGACTTGACCATCACTTGTGGTGTCCTAGGGGATCCCAACATTCCTTCCCAAAAACTCTTGGGCTCCCCAAAGCCGGAACTTGACGGCTTTTCAGCTCACAGCTCATGCCCATAGCCATCCATCCAGACGGGAACTGCATAACTTCCAAGTGTTGATTGCTCCAAATCAGGCAATGCTTGGCCGAAGTTTGGTGAATTATCTATGTTCATCTTAAATGGACGGACTATAGACTGCTTGAATAAATCTGACCACATCTCCTTCAAACCAAAGATCGTGTCTGCGATGCGGCAAAGCAACCACGCGAAGAACTGACCAAGAGACATATCCAGTTATCAACATGAATTTGATGCTCCCTAAACTGCCCTGGGATTGTCACGACCATCTCACAAAGGCAAAGTCTAACAGAGCCAAATAAGGAGCTGTGCTTGCAGTGCTGCTCCACGGAAAAACCTTGCTTTGAGGAGAAACACAACATGATACAATGGTTTCAAGGGTCGACAAGTTTCTGCGAGCAACATTGCGCGTCTGGAAAAGTACACACAAATATCCATCCCCTTTTGGTTCCTTGCGGGGCAAAGTGAGCAATGTTCTATTTGTCACCCAGATTTGCCAAGGAATCCCTCTCCACACATGTTTGCTGAGGCAGCGTCCAGGAGGAGTTGAAGAGACGAGTTCATGTAGCAAGACTGCCTGGCATCATGTGGTTTCTTCTTTTGGGGGATACCCTTTGGAGGGTTTGAGGCACCCAAATGGAACCACGCATTTTGGGGCTACCCAATATTGGGAAACACCAAATTGATGGAACGCTTCGCTACAGTCCTCGAAGCATGGAAGACTCTGCCTCTTGCAATGCATCACAGGTACCAAGCCATATTTGGGCCATGGTGACAATGACAATCTGGGTGGGTAGTGGTCATGGTCCCTTCAATTGGAACCCTTGATCATGGCACATAGAAAATTAGGGAGGCCGCCGTTGTTGTGGAAAATCAAGTGAGTCCCCTATGTCTCGCAAAGTGGACATGTTGACCGAACCTTCTTTGTACCATGGTCAAAGACTCCTCGTGCCCCGTGAGAGACGGCAGCGAACCCGGCCCTGAGCTTATTTTGCGAGCCTTCTTTCCAGAAAACCATCTTTCAACAAGCCAGGGGAGGAACGGCGGGTTTTTGCAAAACAACCTGGGAGAATTCACACACACACACACACACACGAATCCCTCAGCTCACCTTCATGCACGAGCTTGTTTTGCCTCAGCCTTCGAGATTGATGTAACTTGTGCAGCAAGGCTTGCTGCAACTTTGTTTGTAGGGGGGTTCAAGCGTCGTCTGGGTTCGCTTGGCTTGCTGGCGGATTTTTCGAAGCCTGGGCGGAAGCGGAGGGTCCAACTTGATCCTAGGGTTGGGCCATGGCTCTCACAACAGCTGTTCAGACTGGTGCATGACCATCCTTGCCAGCCTATAGGAAGATGGTCTTGCAGCAACCCCGCTCAGGGGCTGGGTGTTCACTCGGGGGTCCTTTTCAGAACAACCAAAGGGCTACTTGGCACCCTGGGTCTGAGATGAAGTCCTTGGCGTTGGGTTCGCCCTCCGGAAACCCCGACTTCGCCGTAATCTGCCAGGTCCGCCCCAGATTCTTGAGACCCACCAGCCCCGGTGCACGCAGGCGTTCCTGAGCGACGCTCTGCATCTGGAAGGGCTCACCCAAAAGACGATTCCTCTACTTAACTGGCCATGGGTCAACACCCTGTACCCCCAGTGAACATCCCAATCACCACTAAAATAGACTAAAATGGGTGGTGCACCTACCCCAAATGGTACCATTGGTTTTGACCCACAGCCAAATGGCAGCCGAGTTCTTTGGGTTCCCTGATAACTTGCATCCCGGCAAAAAGAAACTCTCTCCTAAGGTGACTTTGAAAGCCACAGGAAATACGGGGAACCCGGGATCAATGCAAACTTAGAGAGGAGTCCCCATAAAATGATTCGAACCCGATTGAAAGGGAAACCCGTGGGTATCCTCCGATCCAAAGACATGGGTGTGTCTCTGGAAGCGGAACAAAAAACGTGTTCTCCATTTGGCTTTCCTTCAAAGCCATCAAAGCCATCCCAACAAGGGTACCGAGCCGCAAACGAAGACACAATCGAAAAGGGCACCAAGCCAATTGCAAAGCGCTGAGCTTTTCGCCAAAGGCTTGTCACCGGACTCGCAAATCCGGGACCAATCGTAGTTGAGATTCAGGTCCACCTCAAAATCGTGCGAAACAGGAGCTGCAAAAGGCCCAGAAGAACCTTGAAAACGGACAAAAGCCACTCAAGGAGTCTGGAGTTCGAATGTTGGGATCCATTTGAACATTGGGAGAACAGGTGCCCTGGGGTCGGCAAAAGCCCCGCGGGCATTCGGCAAGGCGGAAGGGCTACAGAAATTGCCATCGCCGGGCCAGTCTCTAAGCGGCCTCCTCCAAAAGCCCATGGACTTTTGGTTCGACCCAATGGTGGGAAACCAGAAAGGCCTTGGGACGATGATGCCCGCAAAGGCAGCAGAATCGACTCAAACGGCGTGTTTTGACACGACAATATCCCCTCCGAAATCGGGAGTCCACCAAAGGCTCTTTAATCAGAAACGCCTTCCCGAATGTGAAAAAAGGCTTGGGCGCTCAAGTGGACCGCACCAGAAACGAATGCCTGCATCTCTGCGAGCGTCTTGTCCGTCTTCTCCATCCTTACATCCCGAGTCAAGAAATCCGAGCTGCAAAAACAATGTATTGGTACAGGGCCTTTTTCAAGGGTAACCCAAGGAAACCAGCAATTTTGGGGTCCCCCCTATTTTAAAGCAAACCCAAATGGTCCTTGTGAGTTGGTTTCCTTGAAGCACCGTTCTCAGGATGGACAAAAAGGTAAATCCAAAAACAACAACAGGAAAACCGCCACTTGTGGGCTTGTCTGCAAGCACCTTCTTCCAAGCGTCTTCATGACGTCAATGCCCCAGTGCTCCAAGTGCTGCGCGAGCAGCGGATCCTATGCGCAGCTGGTCGACATGTCGCCGGCTGTTTGATGTTTCCCCTTGGCGGCTTGAAAAGGAAGCCCAACTAATGGGTGGCCGAAGCCCACTGTCGATGGACGAAATTCTGCACCACTTTGAAACCATGAGAAACCATTGTTTGTTGGTAATTGCAGGGGAATCATCATTCCAGGGTTTCTTGGGTGGTGCAGGATTTCGTCCGTTGACAGTAGGAACCGGCTACACCCTCAGACATACCCATGTCTTTGTTCCGACTGTTTAACCTAGCAGACTGCCAGCCAATACTTCAAAAACACCTCACGGGGTTGCAAGACCCCTCCTCTTACCGTTTCTAGGACCCAGAACCTCCTGCGATTGAAGACGCTCGCCTGCCAGTGTTTAAATTTGCAAAAGCTACTATAAGAATACCTCTGCCAATACTCGTTCCCTAGTCTCACTTCCCAGGGCTATCCAAAATCCGTTGTTTTCTCCAACCTTGTCGACCTCGAGGGATGGGTCTTCATCAAATGGTAGCCTTGTTTGAAGGAGCCGGCGCTGAACAAGCGTCTCCGATCAAAGCCTCATGCAACGGTTTCACCACCAGACCCACGGACCATACCCCTTAAATGGGAAACCCCGAACAAAGAGTACATAAGGGACAAATAAACGGTCCTTCTTCACGACTAAGACTGAAGTGCAATACTTCTGCTTGGGGTCTGGTCTAGGGGTCTGTGGGATACATCTTTGATTCATGCCAGCAGAATATCTGCTCAATTATGAACCTGCTTCAAATCACGTCTTTTCACTTTCGCAACCAGACTTCCCCTTTGCTCCAAGTGATTGCAGCCTGCGCGTGAAGTGACACATGGCCCACAAAATCCGTCTCGTTCACCCGCAGCAGCAGCGTGCCCGGAAGAACCTCCTGAAGGGGAATCTCGGAATCGTTGAACAGCAGTCGCCGGTTTCGGATCTCGCAGATGAATTCACCGTTCGCTTTGAACCAAAATCCGTCGTAGAGATTTCTCCACGCAAGAGCGTGCTCGGCATGCGAATCCACGAACACCTCGAGAGGCGCAGTTTCATCGGAAGACTGGCAGCAGCGTTGACATGTGCAAGGCGTGCTGCCCATAGCGTGCCACGATTTGGGGCCGTCACAATTACTGTCAGGATTCAACATGACTCGAAAGGTTCGCCATACGAGCCAGACAGTAGTACTTGAGCCAAAACGGCTCAAATGATAACAGGATCAGGGCCGTTGAAGGATATATTCATCCAAACACTGTTACCAGGAAATCCTCCAAATCTCCTGATAAAGGATCTTTTCTGGCTTACATGTATCCTGTAAGCTACCCAGTCTCTTGCGGAGCGAAACACCTTGAGGCCGCAGGTTGCAAGGCTGGCCTCTGAAAACAAAGCAACAACATCCAAGGCGCAAGGCAAGCGGCGACGTCTGAAGAACATGTGGGTGCACCCCCCCGGATTACCTCTAAAATGAGGTCAACCCAATAGGTGTATCCTGGTTCAACATTCGACGTCTCTCCAAACAATCCAAACAAAGGCCAACTGGTTTGACGCCTGATGATGCATCCCCCCGCAGCCGTTCAGAATTCAGGCGTGTCTTGTGAGGGTCTGATTTCCGGGGGCGGTTCAAAGGGAAGCCAAGGAGCCATCGAAGCCATTGTTTGATTTGGTTTTTCCCCCCGCGTGATGGGTCAACGTGGCTAACCCCCAACAAAAAAAGCAGTTGATTGTAGGGGCCCAGTCTCAGTGTCCCATCTAAGGACTAAGGGTCGACCGCTTTTGGGGGAACCCTGTCAAAGAAAACATCCTTCACCATGGCGTCTTCATCCCGCGCGTAGGAGTAGACGTCAGCTCCTGGGACAGGAAGCTGGGCTGTCCCCTGGGTCCAACAAGACTTGAGCCACTCTTGTGGGAAGCCCGAAGCTGTATACAGGCATCAAGCACCCCCAGTAGAATTCTAGAAAAAGTCGCGTGAAGTTACCAAAAGCGGACCTGACAAGGGTCTGGTAGGAATATCGACGAAACTGCAACTGTTGGAGCTAGACAAGATGGGCATTAATTATTTCGCCATTTGCATCTATATGAAGACAGCTCCTGGTTCCGGATGCGTCCATTCCACTGGCCTGAATTTGGCATACAAGCTCGCTGCCCAACAGCTTCTTGAAGCTGCCCATGTCTCCAGTTTTGGGCGCGGGGACACGCCGCTTCGTTTGAAGAGCACAGTCCTTGAAACCGCCCGGCGTCCGTGGAATCAGGGCATGCCCGACTTCCCGCCTTCAGGAGTGATGGTGCCCAGCTTCACGACCTCAGGCAGGGGATGGGCTTTTGGCGCCTAGAACCAAAAAAGAAAAAACGAGAGGAGACCCCCGGTTTGACACATACCCAAATGGTGCCTTCGGGATGAAATTGATGCACTCCCACTCTGATAGCAGGGTGAGGGTAGGAGGTTGTTTTGGCTCAAGGCAGAAGGCGCATTCTGAGGGGGACATGCGAATCTGGATCACAATTGGAGCGTTGGCCCGGGGCATGGGGGAATTTATCCTGCAGTTTCTCCAGCACACGCCAAAGTGAAGGACTGCTATTCCCTCCAAGATGGGACAAGACACCCCGCCCAAACTAAACAACCAGCAGTGGTTTAGCTGTGACGCTACCTTCTGTCTGGCTACGCTCGGGTCCGGGCCAGCGGGTAGAAGTTGCCCTTGGCCTCTTCCTCAGCATGGCAGCCATTCAGAAGCAACCATCTCATGAACCTCGATTTGGCTGCGGGTCAAAATGTGCTCAAAATCGCTTGCCCTGGCAAATGGAAACATGGACCAAAATATGCGGTCTCCTGGTGGCTTAATTTTGACCCATACCCAATTTGAATGCGGTGAAATTCTTGCTTGGCCCCCAGTTCAGTGGTCCCACAGGGGCAACAACCGTCACGGGACAGCAACCAAACCCAGGGAGACACGGCTCCTTGCCTTTCAGGCTCCAACGTTGGGTCCGAAAGTACTGTCTAGCCGGGCCCTTCAAATAGCTCCTGCATCCCTCGCAGCCTGCCTCTAAGAAGAAGAAAACCAAAGCTAACCTTCCCCTCGTTCAGAAGCATTCCATCCGCCTCTGTGGCCCTCTCCACTCGACTCCACTCAAAATCAAAACCTGGCGTTAAAGGGGGCTACCCGGCGACCCAAAGCCAAGTCAGCCAAGAATGGGAAGGGCGGCTTCTGGTTCTCGGTCTGTCCTTTACCAACCTTCGCTTCCCCTGATTTATTTTTTTTGCGGCCGCCTCTGCGAAGTGATCCAGCGCGCCATTGCTGCCTCCAGAGCCGTCAAAGAAGCGGCGGCCTCCCCCGATGAACCTGAGCGTCCCGGCGGCCGCCCCCAAAAGCCATGGCTCCGACTGCGGGTTTTGCGAGTCATCCTGGCGATCTTGCGGTCCATGTTCAGGCTCCCAAAACCCCCCCCTCCCCTGCCCCAGAAAACATGACAGTGGAAAGAAATCCTGCGCCCGCAGGTGGACTCATTGCACAACTACAATGCTACAACATCTACAGGTGTTGACGTACATATCGCGACTCGCACACAAACACAACTTGAAGGCGGACTCAGCCCGAACATGCGTCGAGAGCTGTGTGCCACGCCCTACAAGGCCAAACGCACCTGCCCAAACCCTAGCGTACCACCCCCCCTCTTTTAAATGTGAAGCCCAGCTATCGAAACAAAGAAAAACAACATCCATGGGTCCCATGTGTGTGTGTGCTTTGTTTGGGTAGCTTTTTGGCTTTGATTCAAAGGAAGCATTCATTTTCTGGCCCCTGCCAAGCGCCGGAGTTGCCGGTTCGCACGCTTAGCCATCCTAAGTAGGTCCCGAAGGCACGTGGCATCTGCTTTCCGCCTCCGACCACATCTGCCTACCGGTGTCTCTATCAAGCTGCAGGTCGGGGATGGGAAGGGTGGAGTGTACCGATCCGTAGCCTGCTTGTTTTTTTCCTTTGACCCAAAAGCGCCTATAACATTATTGTTCCATTCTTCGATGAAACAAGTGCAAGCGCTCTGCCCATGTCAAGGGTGATTGTGAAAAGTTGGTTCTAGCCCTTGAGGCTGTCTTCTTGATCCACTGGGGCCACTGCCCATCCGACAGGTTCAGCCACAGGTTCTGGGTGTCGCCGCTCTTTTCACACCTTCGCCAAGATATCGGGGGTTGATCAAAAGGTCCGAAAATACACGAGATGACCATTACAACACCTCCAAAAAGTTGACACGTCCCACCTGCGAAAAGTGACCCATGGTGAAATGTCACGGCCCATGGAAGATTGATCCACCCCCCCCTGACCTGACCTAGCGCATCTCTCAGGCCCGGACTTCCAGTCCTGAGACGTGCCAGACAAGTTGCAGGAAACCCACCGGAGAACTGATAGGAAGCATGAAACCTGGGGCTTGGGGGCCTGGGGCCCCTTGGGGGAGGGAACCCGAATAAGCGCAAGGCCTTGTTTAGGGCGTATTTGGGCTCTCCCCTTCCCCTCCCCCCCGCAGGGCCCAAACAACCTATGCCTGCCCCGAGATTCGAGAGTAAGCCACACAGTACCCCCATGGATCCCAATGTCACTTTCTTGGGACACCGATACGAATCCACAAGGTGCTACATTAAATTTGAGAAAACATGAGAACCAAACTCGGCATGTGGGTCTCCGCGTGCTTTCCGTTTGGTTTCCCAACCCCCATTTTGGGCGCTTCCTCTTGGCATCAACAAACAGACAACCCAAGGTCGACAAATGATGGCGCTTTCCCAAATACCCGCCAATTGTGCGGCATGATATCAACCCCGAGACTAAGAAAGGAGGTAATTGCAAACATGGTGTTGCCAAACGTCGCTGGTAGCAAACAACTTGGAACCTTAACTCAGAGACACAGGGAAAGCCGAACCCCCCCCTCCTTCGCCCTCCCGCCGATTTTTAGGTCCCCAGTTTCCAAGTGATCAACTTGGGTTCAACCAAATCCGCCGGAACTCCTATGGGTTCCTATCACTGAAAGCTTTCAGCCAAACCAAAAAAAGGAACTCCTGGTGGCTCCTCAGCTCCCTTCCTGAACAAGCTGGCATACCAGATGCGGAACGGCTCCAACCTGCCTGTGACTCACCCGCCCTGCCTTGGGGCTGGGGCTGATCTTCTTGGTGGCCGGAAGCTGCACCAAGTCCTTGCGCCGGGCCCCCGCTGACTGAAGTTCCTTTGTTGCACGATGCGTCGCAATCCAACAAGGGCCCTGACCACCCTGTGGTTTCGATTGTGCACGAAAGTGACATCCTCAATTGCTTCCCCTCTAAATTGCGTGGCTTACTGTTGAGTCCCCCCCTAAATAACACAAGACAAGAAAGACAAGCACTCAAATGACCCTTCTTCCACGTGTCACACAAGACCCAAGCGCTTTAAGCCGCTATGAGGCAACAAGCGCCAGTCCTTGAAGTATTTGCTCTCCTTCACTTCCTGTCGCAAAGCAATCGCCGAGCTTGCGGTCCAATTCATTTCAAGCCGCCCCTCGAACTCAAAACTGCAAGCCGCATTCATAAAATGGAGGCACACAGCCAAACAGCAAAACACCTTGAAACAAGACGGTATTCTACAACATGCGTAACTCGCTTTCGGAGAGTCAGCTAAAAGGTGTAGATGGGAGGATCTTGTTTATTGCAACGTACCCTTTTAAAAACACTCTTTGGTTTCAAAAGAAACCCAGCGACCACTTGCTGGACGTGTCGCTGTTTAAGAAGCTAGCCCATATCCGGAGAGCTGCTTAGAATCAGCGTCGCCCACACTTGACTTGGCACAAGCCTTTGGTTACTAAGGGGTATAAGCTCGGAGATGATCCCCCGCAACACCCTTTGTCACATAGAGGCGGCCAAGGAGTTGATAAATACCGTTGCGCAAAGACAGCACGGTCACGGGGTGACTCAACACTCTGTTTTTTTTGTGTTTTTTTTGTGGTGGGGGGGCGGGGGGTAGGTGTATATCCCATGGTAACCCGCCGGGTTTGTTTTCTTTTGGTTTCCCTCTAATCCAACCCTAGGTTTTGGCTAAACCAACCCAACAACGGGTGCAAATGTCCAACAAAACCCCGACCCAAGCGAAGCTCTCCCTTGCCTCCTCCCATTGGCTCACCGTCTCCATGGACTTCGCCCCCTGGCAACCCGGAGGGTGCCTTTACTCAAACCGGACGGAATGCAACTGGGTCCTTCAGTGGGGAGGTTAGAATAAAAGTACTTTCTTTTTTTCTGTAGTCTATTTCAGTAGGGGAACCCTCCCCCAAACAAGGGCAAAAGGGCACCACTTGGTTGGGGACCTAGGCAACAATGGTTGTCGGATCTCGGATTTCCTTTTGGCTTTCTTTTGCACCTGAAAAGTGTTCGCCGGGTCGTTCCATTTTCCGAATTCCCGAACTTTCAATCCCCACGCCCAAGGGGTAACCCAGGTTAAACCGCGGAGCCCAAAATGGGCCGGTGTCGTTTTGACTCTCCTACCTCCATGGGAATGTTGGACAGGTGGGTAAAGGGAAGACTATATGCTTTCGATTCCCCCCCAAAAAAAATCAGCAACTTGGAGGGTGGCGTAATAGTCCTGGCTTGCTTTGTTGCCCGGAAAGTCGCCTCTCTCTTTTATCTGCCACTGACCATGATCTTTGCCAAAAACATCTACACAAGGTCCATCGTGGCAGCTACTTGCACCCACAAAAGATATGACACGAGTGAATTCAGGTGCTGGGGAGAGTACGCCAGGCACAGTGAGAAGGGCCAGCAAACCTCAGCTTGCTCACAATTGCCAAACAAAGTATCACGTAGTGCCAAAGAAACGGAGCCCTTCCTGTCTTCCTGTCTGCTTGCCCACTATCCGCCACTGATGCCTGCGCACCCTTTTGGGTCCCAACACCTTGGTCGCATTGCGACCGATTGATGGAGACCGATCGATTCGCGCGTTCTGTGGCGCAGCGGCACTTGTGGCCAAGCAGGAGCCTTGCGAATGCAGAGTTTGCGTCCTTCGCTTGGCCTTTCTGGCAGACTTTACAGGGACTCTACAAGCGAACTCTTTACAAAGCCCTTGCAGCATCAAAAGGGACAGGAGATGCATGACTTGCCCCTTCCTGCCCTCTGCAATTAATTCAGGCTTATTTGGGAATATCGTCAAAAATGGTTGAGCCCTCGCGGCTCGTTGTCTTCAGGATGCTTGGCCGTATCGCTACAACCTCAAATTCAGCTCACAAGCGGGCACAAGCAGCAACAAACTGATTGTATGTCTCCTTCCTGCTCCCAAAGCCTGAAACACGAACAAACACACCATGTGTGTATGCGTGTCAGCCTCCAGTCACTTTGCTGCGGTTACGTCTTCTCAGGGCTTGCATGTGGCGCAGGCCTACCAAAAGAAACGATGCACGCTTTCGGGGCCACGAAACCTCGCCCAAAAAACACCTCCGCCCGAGTCGAAATGCGCAAGGCAGAGCATCACTGAGGCCACGGCCAGCATCGCTGCCATGGGCAAGGAAGCGATCACCCATCCAAGGGCAATGGTCCACTCGGGAAAGTAGCCAGTGCCTGACCCAGGGCTCGGCTCTAAACAGTCCCCTCCGCCCCCCCCCCCCAGGGCGACTTGAGGAGCTTCGCAGTGCTGTGAAGACGAGGTCCAAAGTATATAATTCCTGAAGTGGCAACAAGGGAAACCCCCGCAAAGGATCTTCATCATGGCCGAGCTCGCTTTGCCCCCAGCTCGCTGAAACTTGCCCATGGGTGAAAGTCCATGGTTGCAGCTGAAATACCTGTGGCGCCCAAAATCCTTGCCATCCGGAACGTAGAACTTGTGACAGGCAAAACCTCTGATTCAGCCTACGAATCTGGCCGTAAGCAGTGGCAATCCTGGACTTGATCAGTCAGGCGATGTAAACAGCACTCTACTTGGTCCCTTGCAAAGCGGGCCGCTCAAATCGGAGGCTCCGATCCTACTCCATTGCTTTGGCTTCCCCAGCACAAAAGTTGGGACTTTCGTTTCCCAAGGCAAGGATCTTGCAGATTGCCTCACAGCCCCACGCTGGGCTAGCATGGAAGCCACCAAATACACTGGAGCTTCCGAATCATGATGGCCCGACACCTCTCAACAACAACACCGAACCCCCCCCCCAAACCGCAAACCCCCCTGCACGCCCGCGGTTTTGTCTGCCAGGTCTGCCTTCAGGGAAGTGCTTGGATTCGCGGGCGCCCATCACGTCCAGCTTCCCGAACGGTGGGGTGATGCTTAAGACCACCAGCACCGCAGAGAGCCCAGGGCAGACATAGCCCCAGGAGATCTGTGCGGCCGACGGACCAACGCTTTGGACATTTCAAGCGCCTCAGGTCCGCCAATCGCGTTTGAGGTGATTCCCTATTGAAATCTATGGCCATGTTTTGTGCTTCATGTCAGGCGTTAACTGATGTGTATCAAAAAACTGGAAGAAGGGACCTTGTTCAATAATGACTAGGGCGTCATTAATCGGGGGCTCATTCACATTAGCAGTGTTGCCATCCAACAGGTGCACGTGTGGCTCCGGAAAAAAGAAAAAGAAGCGGATGTCTTGAAATCGTGTCTGGGCCGGGCAAAAAGAACAACATTTTCCTGTCGTGGTGTAAAAAGGACGGTGACTTGCCGCACACACACACACACCAAAGACTGTGGCCGTTCTTCCTCGTGGCACGCAATTGTATGGGTCGCGTTCTCTCCAACACATCTATCAGTAGTGTACAGCTGCACATGCAACATCAACCACAACATACCACAAATACATAAATAAATAAATAAATAAATGAACAAATAAACAAACAAATAAATACATAAAACAATAAATAAAGAACAACATCAAGCAAAGGCAAACAACTTCTTAATCGGCATCAACCGGCAACCCCTGCCCGCGGATCGCCTCCCAGATTCGGCCCAGCTCCATGCCAGTGCTATCCACGCACAAAGCCTTGAACTGCTCCCAGGTCTTGCCCCGACGTGTCCAGAGCCTAGGGACCGTTCGATGGAGCCTTTGGTCACGTCGCCTTTGTGAGGCTATGGGCTTCAGACCACTTGAAGGGGCAAACGGAGAATGAAACCTGCAAGAATCAATTGCTGGAAAACTTTGACTGCCATAATCATGGTGGCTCCGATAAAAAGTAAGTCGATCGTGTCATCCCGACTGCGCCGCTGCGTCAGCATCTGCATTCTTGTTTGAAGGCAGCAAGTCGGTTGTACTTTTTTGACTCCCCTGCTGCAAACAAAGTTGCTGCCAAGGCGCAAGCCAACACACTCCAAGCAGGCCACGGCAAACATCACGTAGATGCTCACATAGTTGTCGAACCTTGTGTTGGAATACTGCGCGCGCAAAGTTTTGCGTGGGCGTGAGGAAAGCGTTGCATGCAAAAGGAAACACCTCAGCATTACGTGAGCCATTTCAACTCTGGTAGTTCAACCAAACCAGAGTCACGCTGCTACAAATGGCTATATTATAGTTGCTCTACTGTGACACTTCTGCCAACCGGCTTTGTCGGCTCTGCTGAGTGTTTGATGCCTCCAATGCGTTTCCAAGCATAGCGGCTCAACTGTCAACCCCACCGTGCACTGTGTCCAGCTGTCGGCCGGCTCCACATTGTTGTCCACAGCAAGATCTGAACACATCAAGCAGGTGTCTTGCAGGCTCTAAAATGATTTGCACTACGCCCCAACCTGCTACCCCAAAATATGTCTTCGCAAGGCATGGAAGAATGGATGTTCTACCGACTCTCTTGAAAGCACCGAAACATCCTTGCCAAAGCGACAGCTCAAGGAAGTAGATGCCGCCTCTGCACACGAAGATCAAGCCGATGAGGTATGACACCAAGCAAATCAAGCCTCTGGGCTGCGCCGCTGGGGCTTGTAGGAGGAACACCCAAATTGAGTTGGCTTCCTTTAGATCTGCCTTTAAACCGCGCCCAAAAAGCCACCTTCAAAACTCAGGCGCGAGCCTACACGAGCAAAGACTCGAGCATGGCACTCAAGCCATGGCTACTGACCGCTGCGACGTCCACAAACAGACTTAAGACCTGGGAATGAGAGGAACCCATGGGCAATTTGTCCACGAAGCACTGGCCTATCCATGTTCGCCGCATGCTATACGGGTGCATGGTTCCTTATGATTCCTTCTGGTTCCTTACAGTATCTTGTAGTACCTTATGTGGGTATGCGGCCTTCTTGGTCAAAGAAGCACTGGTGAAAAGTCCGGTTGCTCTACTTGGGGGTGGAGTCTGTTCTAGGCATTCCCTTGTTGTGTGCATAGATAATATCCTTCCGTCATAGAAATGTCAGTCATGAAAAGTTGAGACCTCCCCAACTTTCCTATCTGTCTTCTTGTAAATAGTTCCATGTCACGAACTTTCGAAATTACGAGATTCTGACTAATGGAACCATGGCAACGCGGCATGAGTCTTGACCACAGCAAAAATGGTCTCCACTCAAAAAAAAGCCAAGCTATTTGCAGGGTATAGTGATGGGATATACTAATACGCCACAGACTGGCGATTCTCTAAAGCGCAAAAACTCCGCTTCTTCCCTTGGGGTAGTGGTCGGTAGCGGTCTGGTTTTTGACACATGGATGTCTCTCAAAATATGCGTTAACCTCCAAAATGGGTGGTGTCCCCTTGGGTTTCCCGAACAAAACTACCAAACAACAAACAGGAAAACAAACACAGGGGAACTCCCCCACCCCCCCCCCCCCCCGCAAAAAAAAACACACACACACACATACCCCACATACCCCGGCTGACCGGCCGGCCGCCTGCCTGAGAGGGCCCACCGCGGCAGGCGCTCGCCCCAGCCCGCGTCGGAGAGCACCGTGGCCACAGTCTCGATGTAGGCAAACTGGGAGTCGATGCCGAGGATCAGCATCATGACGAAGAACAGAATCGCCTAACCGGGAGTGTGTCATTTTTTCAGGGTACCCTGTTTTGCGGCGGTTTTAGAGGAAAACCAACATGAAACCCACTGCTTTTCTTCCATTTGTTTTGGGGGGTGCTCCCTTTAAAAAGGCCTCCCCCAAATACGTACCACCCAACCGAAGCCAGGGTTTAGGTGGAATCTACCACTTTATGGGACGAAGCAAATCGCCGCAGAAAGAACATCTACAGCAACAACCTCAAGACAAACCGCGGTTTACATTTGCGGGGGACTCAACATAGGATCTCTTAGAGGGGTCTCTGGGCCCCTCTACCCCAGACCACATGTTCCGGCATTCGGGGGCCTGGGATGTTAACCAAGATGAAGATTTACTCCTCTCAAGTTCAGAATGAGACTTTCCAAACACAACTTGCCAAACCCTGGTGATGCCGCTTAGTGAAGTTGACTCTCATGACTACCTTATCACTTCGGGGGACTTTCTTGGGGTATGCGTCTCAGTCGCGATCCTGGTATGACCCGGCTGATTCCACATTTAACAGCAAACTCAGATCACTTTTTAGGTGTTCACGTATGAATCCACGAGGTTTCACTTAAATTAGGGGCGTTTTGAGGCTTCACAATTGATTCACACTAAAAACTCCCTTTTTGGGGGGGACCCGCCCAGTATGATGGTTTTCCTTGTGGTGTCCCCTTTAACAACGAACAAACTGGGTACCCCTAAAAAAGACACATCCACATGGCAATACCCATCACGCCAGCACAGCCCAGCTCAGGGCCCGGCGAAAAAGAAGCCGCCCGGCATTTGCGACACGGCAATGGGAAACGCCACGAAGGCCAGTCCTGATGGCTTACCAACGTCACCCCTCCCGGCGGCAGGCTCAAGGCTGGTGTTCCCACAAATGGCCCCGTATGTTACCAACGTGGGAACCCCCCCCCAGTTTCTGGTGTTGATAACGTCTGGGGCACCAGAAACAAACAAAATCATGACCCCAAAGGCACCAGGCATGGGTTTTTGCTCAAAAGGACACATGGGCCACAGGGACAAGCATTGTGACATAGACAGGACCCCTCTTAGTTCTCTCCCCAAAATGGCTGCTGATCCTGTTCGCTTCCCCTTACACCACCCCAGAAAAAAGAAGAAAACAAAAAGAACAAAAAACGAAAAGGAGTACCCCAAAAAGAAGCGAACAAACACATAAACAAATAAACAATATCAATACATAAGCAAACAAACAAACACAACTTCTTCAAATGGGTAAGTTCGCATGGCCGAGCCTGTGCCCGACAGTCCAATGGACTTGAGGCTGTCCAGGCTATCGCCAGCAATGCAGGGATCTGTCCTCAGGGATGCGGAGCAACGGTTTTTGGGCAGACATCAGTGAGGGTGTTTCTCTAAACAGGGGTCCTAGAATGCTGGGTGTGCCGTTTAAATTCAAGGGGGTCCACCATTTTGAGAAACTCCCAATTGAATGCACTGTGACACACCAGTGGAAGGGTTTTCTTCGACACTTTGTGGGGCCTTTCTTTCTTCCTTTCTTTCTTTCTTTCTGTTTGTCCAAGTCGAGATCAAAAGGCACACCCTGAAAAGACAGCATCTCGCCATGGGCACCGTCAATCTCAAAACAGCGGGACCCTTTGCATGTCCAGAAATCATGCACTGATTCAGAGCCGTACTGAGGAGCATTGCAGCCTGCGCATGGCTCTTGGTGACTACTGTTGACTGGGGGGCATCGAGAAGCAAGAGACCCCCGTGTTCTTTCTGAATCAATGGAAGAAAGCGGGGGTGGGGGCTTCGGAGATTCCCTGAAGCTCAGGCGCGGGCTCATGCAGCTCTTGGGCAAGGAAGCCCAAGACTGGGAAGACCACGCAGCCGGCGATCATCGAAGTGCCGCAGTTGGTGATGGCTACCTCGATGTTTCGGAGCCGACATGAGTTTCAACCAAAAGCATTGGCTTCATGTGTCCACATCCTTTGCAACCATACCGTGGATGCAACTGCCTTGATGCATCACTCAAGGTATCGGTCGGAGCCCCGGTCCCAGCGCGCGCCGAACAAAAAAACACAAAACCTGCGGCAAGCCGCCGCGCTGGCGTCCCGCACAAAGTTGGCGGACTTCTTGCCGAAGGAGCCGAAAGCCACGATGGAGCCGTAGCCCACGCCCAGGGAGAAGAAGATCTGCACTGCGGCGTGGATCCAGACCTGTGGGTCCGAGAGGTGGGAGAAGTCCTCGGATTTCCATGAGAGGTGCGGAGAGGTCCGGAGGTCTTCAGCTGCCCGAATTTCGTGGAAGCCAAAAACAAAGGCTTCAGGAATCTCCTCTTTGGGGGTCTTGTTGGGTTCCGTGGGACGTCGCAAGGAGCACTCCAGGCCACAGTCCAAAGCGGCGCGTCTTCTTTGGCAAGAAGCCCAAGAGGGGCATCCAATTTGGGCGTGCGGCTCAAAAGCCCGCCCCAAAACAAAGCACGCGTTGCTCTTGTTCTACCAAATGGATCCAAAAGGGTGAAATTTGTTTGCAATAGTTGGAATTCACTTCCTGAACTTGAAACAACTTGGATCAATTATTGGAATTGAATTCCAATAATTGGAAGAACTGCAAGACCCCCAGTTGTTGCAATTACTGGAATTCAATTCTTGGTTTAAGGCACAATCTGGGAATAGATAATGCTTTCAATTGTTGCAATTTGTTCATTTGTTCGAATTGAACTCCAATAATTGCAATGACTTGACAATCTGGGACCCCCCCCCAAGTATTGCAATTTTTGGAAGTATGCAGGTATTGCAACTATTGCAATTTGATTGCGATTCATGGGGACTCCGGGTTTCTGCAAGTATTGCAACTGTTGGAATTAAATTCCAATGATTGCAAGAACACTCAACTTCAATAATTGCAATACATAAGTGTCCCAAGATTTGGCCCCAAGCCATGCCAAATAATTACAGGAAATTGGGGGGGGGGGGGGGGGGAAACACTGATTGCAATTATTGCAACTGTTGAAATCTGCTGTATTGCAACCAGTGGACCCCACATCACTCCGGCCGGGTCTCTGCAGCGAAGAGGAAGTTTAGGCCCGTCAGGGCGTTGGGCAGAGTGAGCGCTCGCACCTGATTTTTGCTTTCTTTCTTTTTCGCGCGGGCAAAGGACACATCCGATCTCAGCAAAACTTGCCAGACTCCCTGGAGTGGAACTTGAGCTTGCTGCTTCTCCAGCCCAAGCCAACAGTAGACCATCGTCAACCATAGGAGTCCTTTTGGATAGATCGCTAAATCGGTAAATGACTAGCACATTGAAACCGGCCCCAGCCTCAAAAAACCAAACTGACCTACAAAGGACACCTATGCAATCAGCAGCAAAAATGTCAGTGACTCCTTTGTGCGCGAAACGGAACCCGTTGCCATGGATGCGGTGGCCACAAGTTACTCACCACTGACCCCCCCCCCACAGTGGCATTCGGCCATAGCCAGGGGCCGCGATATTTCCCAGCCAAACAGCAAGCACCCTTCAATTTAAGCGGGAACCCGTTCGATGGCCATGTGTATTTGTTTGATCCCCCAACAAAGAAAAAACATCTGAGGACCCTTGATGGATTCAGCTCGATTTCATTCATGCTTCAAGGGCTCTGACAAAACCGGGGAACCCCTGACATGTGGCGTGGTTTCTCTTTGGGAGTTCTTCGAAGCCAACCACAACATGCATCCACATGGGTGTGCTGTTTTTGTGGGCTCCCACTGGACATCATTCACATGTGGAGTTATGCCCACCAACCATTTGGAAGGGTACTCCCCATGACAAACAATAGCCATGTGGGTAGTATAATATACGTCGTGTCTACCATGGGGAGACCCCAAAATCGGAGGGGGGCTTTTGGATTCCGTTCAAATCAAGGTGAAAAGGGTACCAACTCGAAAAGAAACAAACCCAAAAAGGGTTGCTGCTTGCTCCTTCCCAATCAAAATCCAGCTGGGGTTGATGAAGCAATCAACTGGCTTCCCAATCATCACTTCCCCCTAAAATAATAAAGGTGCCCCAAATATGTTTCCGAAAGTCCAGCGGGTCCAATACTAAGTTAGGCCAATTCTAAACCAATTGATACTATACTATGGCGATTTCTCCCAGCGACCTCTTCTCCGGTTGTATTAGGGGACCTTTGCCCATAGTCAGCAAGCACTGCCCTGAAAGAACAACAGGTTGCGGTGTCCATTAAAATCCCTTACTTAACAACTGCCATCTCTCTGCTGAAAGAAAACCTGGAACACTTTGGGCTCCTCATAACCGGACCAACGAAGAAGTGAACAAAAACACGGGAATCCGTTGGTAGCCCAAATCTCTGTCTTTTATTTAAGGGCGCGGGCGCCTTGTAGTTAGAAGGGATTACTCCCCCAGACCTCCAAACCCCTCGAATGTCCTTTACAGAACTCACAGCTCGGCAAACCCATGCAAAACCCATGATAAACCCTTGGGGAACCCAATGGGAAACCCATAGGAAACCCATGGGAAACCCATAGGAAACCCATAGGAAACCCATAGGAAACATAGGAAACGCATGGGAAACCCATGGAAACCCATGGAAACCCATAGGAAACTTATAGGAAACCCATGGGACATTTTACACCAGCCCTGCTCCTCGGCTTCCTTCCAAAGCCAGGCCCATGCGCCAGGCCGCCAGAAAAATCGCCAGGCACGCGTATGGCAGCGTCGCGGTCACGTAGACCACCTTGCCGCTGGACTTCACGCCGTTGAAGACCTCAAAGCGGGGGACCTAGAAACAGGGATTCAAAGGGCACCCTTTCAGGGTCTGCTCTTTGAGGGTACCCTTGTGCTATTGTGTTTCATTGTCAGTTTGTTGTTCACTGATTCACAAATGACTCCAACCTCCCTAGAGTGGAGGGGGGGTGTTTGTCTTAAATGGGGGTGTTTTTTCTCAACTTTGACCTTCTTTTTGGGATAATGCTAAAGGGACACCAAAGGAAACACCACCCACCCATTTTGACATGTACCCAAATGAGCCCAGGTGGTATCCCCAACCTTGGAGCTGCTCCGGACCTCAGCCGGGGAAGCAATGGGGCTGGATGGAGCTTGCGGCCAATTAGCGGGTGCCCTTGGTGTTTAGCCTCATATCCAAATGGCTCCAAGAAGCGGCCCCAAAGTGCCACCTTTTTTGAATGGAACCAAAGACTGAAACCCGCGGCTTGCCCCAGCTCGATACCTTTTGAGCCATACCCAACTTCCTACCCTTTGGGCTGAACTCCGAGAGACGCTCTCGAAAAAGACAGCGTCCCGCCCAGAGGCCCAGGTTTCCTTTGGTTTCCCTTGAAACCGCCCAAGAGATCTGGGAAATCAACTAATTGTTGATCACTGTTGGTGTCCGTTCTGGAAATTGCAGATTATGTGCTATTGGGGTATCCGTCAAACTATATAGGGGGTCCGAGAATTGTAGCTTTCCTGTTGGTTTTCGTTGGTTTTGCTATAAACCAAGGTGAATAGGGTTCGGATCAACAAATCACACGCCCGTTTTGCACCAAGGAGCAATGAGCCAAATCAGCAACCAGGCGATGGTCATGGAAATCAGGATGCCCGGATTCAATCCTTCGGGGCATGGGTGCGTTCACTCAAAACGACCAGGTAGGCCATAGTTATGGTCACTTGGATTCTTCACTGAAGGGACCGCCCAGGACCATTCCCGGACTCCATGGCAGTGACTGTTCAAAATGAAAGGCTCCGATTCAATGTTCCAGGTTCAATGGTGTCCGTAAACGAAATGTGGTCACAACCAGGATCCAGAAAAACATGTTTTGAAGAGCCCCGACGTGATAATTTTTCTGTAAGAAGCTCAAGGCCATTGAACATTCCCAACCAGTACCGTTGTACCGTTCAGTTCTATCAAACCTGAACTCAGCAGCGCCCAAAACCCATTGGCTTTTCCTATTGGTTCTACCAACATGGTTAGAGAGGTGCATTCAGGCTTTGCTATAGCCCCAATGGAACCAGGTAAGAGAACAATCTATTAGAATGGCCACTAGGGGGTTGCAAGCAAGACGGAAGGCGGGCTGCCAGCACCAGCTCAAACACACGGCCCGCAAAGCATGCCAGCATTCCTTGCGCTAAGCAAAATGTCCAACCAGAACGTTCCAGTGATGTGGGAAATGTGTCACAAACAAGGCTATGGACCTATCCTCTCAGTGCGCTGAAGCAAAGGGCCAAGCAATATGCTCAAGAGTCATGCCTGCCGATTCTGCAATCGCTTCAACAGCTCTGATAGACTGCACCTCGAAAAACCCTCTGGCTTTGAATACCATGTTTTTCCCCCTGGCCCATGTCCTTGTACTTCAGATTTCAGGACCCCGTACTTTCCAGTGGACTTAAAACGGCTTCGTTGAAAACCCCGCCATCGCTGAGGCTCCCCTCCTCCCGGCTGGTCCAGGCCGGGGGACTGCTGCAGCGCGGACTCCCAGAAGATCTTCGCCATTTGCGCTGCGCGAATGATCGAGGGGCGTCTGGGGGGGGCCCCGAGAGGCGAGGCGGGAGGCGAAACCACGGGAGTCTGCGCGGAAAAAAGGTGCCAGAAATGAGAGGTCCCCGGCTTTTGGCTTCGGCTTGCAGGGACAAGTTCTTGAAATTGAGCGCCGAAACGTGGTGCCTCTTTTCTTTTTATCAATCTGTTTGGGGGGGCAAGTGAGCAAGTGAGCGCATTTGAACCTTGGCCTTGGGCTGGGCGATTCAAACCCTTGTTTAAACCACCAGAATATATCGAAACAACCTCAGGTTGTTTCATTTGAAAGGGCTCAGATTTCGCCAACTTGGGCAGCATGGGGACACGCTTTTGTCGGGATAGTTGGTGTGTTGAGGGACGAGTCATCGCGGGCAGAACGAGGAATTTGAATGGCAACCATATTGACACCCAATACCCCCGCTGGCGAAGTCACGGGATTCCAAAATGACGGAATGGATTGTGCTATCCACGAGTCAAAATCCCGTACCCCCAGTGAACATGCCAATCCCCACTAAAATAGGTTCTAAAATGGGTGGTGCACCTACCCCAAAATGGTACCATTGGTGTTGACCCACAGCCCTTTCACCCTGCCTCGTTCAACGGTCCAAAGGCGCCATGATTGACTCCCCCAAACCGGCCGGGCGCTTCCGTTTCCCGAGCCTGGGCATCTGGTCGGCTGAATCGTCTTCCTGGGCGGCGATGAAAACGGAGACGTTTTAGCACCTTGGGGGCGGGTTTAAAGGGAAGCCAAAAAGGAAGCCGACCGAGTTTAACTGGACGCTTCTCCCTCGCTCCATTTTTAGAATGATGAAATTCTGGTGGCAAAGCAATCCGCAGCTCTCTATGGCAAGGACACTTGCCCTTTCCAACCTTCACACACCCAGGATTCGATCTTCCCACCCCAATCTGTAGGTTGTTTGTAACAAACAGGTGCAGCCAAGTTTCATGACATAGTCGGCCGGTGGCGCTCCAACAGCCTTGCACCACACCGATGCGGCGTAGGTGGAATTCAGCAGCCCGGTGCTGCTGTCGATGAGGAAGGGGCTGTCCACTGCGCTCTGCAGGGGAAGGTCTTTGATGGAAAAGAAAACTTGCGGGTGCACGACTTTGGTAACCACGGACACAAACACAAACACCCACCCTCACACACACACACACATGCGGGGGGAAAAAACACCAGGGAGAGACAAAGATTAGCACACCAGGGCACTTCGAAAGAAACAGAGCACTCGGGCACCGGAGGGGCCCTTTCTTCTGGGGAGTGCTCGGACGCCTGGTGGAGGTAGAGATCCATCATCGGGCAGGTGGCGCCTTCCGCCTCATCGCTCCAGGGCAGCTTGCCCGAGGGGATTGCCGCGAAGGTCCTTCCCGCTTAAATCTGTGCGGGCCGGACTGAAAACGGCAAAAATGAGCTTTGCTCTGGGTGAAAAAGAAAATCGAGACCAAAAATGCTAACGCCTGAAAGGTATGCGGAGTTCAGGCAAGCAACCCATGTTTCGCCTTGGAGGGACCAAGCGTCTGCGTGCGTTAAACCATTTTTGCAACCAACCCTGGCGGTTTGCCCAGGTTGTTCAAATAGGGGGATCCCTGATTCCAATCGGCAATTTAGAGTGGGAAACCAATGCAAGGGACACCACTACCATCTGGCCAACCGCAACCACCCTTTCCATGGTTGTAAAGGGACGACTACAAGAAACCACCCCTCTCTTTTTGTAGGTGAGGGGTGTCCTTCCCGTCATAACCCCACACCGACTTCTGCTTGCTTCCCCCCCCATTGCTGCTTCGGAGAAATGAGGCGGTTTTTGCCAACAAGCATGTTGGATGGAACTTCAAACGGCACGCCATCTGGAGAGGACCCAAGTTTGGCAGCTTGCCCTATCAAAGACTGGAACATGAAACCATGCGCAAAAGCAGTCCGGCCCAGGTAGTAGATGGTCCAAGCAAGGATGGTGATGTAGTACAGCCCCACCAAAAAGGTGCAGACCGTGGCAGCCAAGCCTGCGGCTCATCTCTCATGGCTTGCTTCGCACCCCTTCAGTGCAATTTGCCTGATCCGAAACAAAGTTCTTACAAAATAAATGTGGGGTCTTTAAGTACAGAAAGTGGTACCCTCCTAAACCCACACACCCGACGGTGCTCTTGAAACATGACTGGCCCATCAAAAACATACCCAGTTCTCTCTCTCTCTCTCTCTCTCTCTCTCTCCCTCTTTGTTTGTTTGTGTGTGTGTGTGTGCTCTTGTTGGTTTCGTGCTTGTTTCTGTTTTCCGTTTCTGTGTGTGTGTGTGTGTATGCATGTTTTTTTTTTTGAGAAGGCCCTGTTGAGGTTGGTATACATGGAAAGCAAACAAATATACACACCCTTTGCAGGGGTGCCCCTTGCCACATGCCTACTCCCTGCCAGCGCGGCAGCCCGATCTTCGTCCACATGCCCAGCGTGCCGCGCCGAGTCAGCTGACCCATGCCCAGCTCCAGCACGAACAAAGGCACTCCCAGCAGCAGGAGGCTCAGGGCGTAAGGGATCAGAAATGCGCCTCGCAGCTTTTCCGCCGCGGTCAAGGCGCTTTAGCAAGGCCGAATGGTGGGCTTAAGGGAAAAGTTCTTCGGAGAACCCCTCAAACTGCCAACTCTACGAAACCTCACCTCTCCTCTGTGCCATGGTCAATGCGGGTCATGGCCATGGTTCGCTTAATGGAAACCTAGACATGATGTACATTGGCGGCCTACAGGCTCGATTGAGCAGCTTCATGACCATCCTTACCAATACTCAAATTGGTGATTTGACCATATCGCGTCTAGCAGTTGGAGACATCTGGAAGGACTCAGGTCAACTGTACTTGATCCGTGACGCCCATTTGGATGGCTTCCCAAATCTCAAGAGAACGGAATGGGCCCCACTGAGGACCGATGACCGAATCGATTCCGCCGGCCTACTTGCTCACTCCCGCCTCCACCATAGGTGTAGGTGAGGTACGGAAAGCGCCACACATTTCCCACCCCCACCTCAGAGGCTTCAGCCACGCTGACTCAGACTTCTGGATGGCATGGCGGTCAAATACAGCCAAGGAACCAGCACACCCCGCTACCCGGCATGTAAAAGGACACAAGCTCCTTGGGCTTTGTGTGTTTGGTCGAAACTCCTGGCCTTCCTGGTTCCCAAAGAAATCCTCATGGTGATCTGTCGGGGAGTCGGGAAGTCTGGATGATCGGCCCTCCCCAGTAAAAGGGTGAAACCCGTCTAAGTCTACGCGCATGTCCCAGAGCCCAAGCTTGCAGCCAAGCTGCGGCATACCCCACCAAGCTGAGGATCAGCTCTGCCTGGCGAGAAATCGTACACGGTTAGTCTGCTAGTTTTGCGGGGGTGGCTTGGCTGGTCCCAGCATGTCAATTAGCGGGGTCCCTCAAATGATGATGCTTTCAAAGTTGATTTCGCTTTAAGCCAACCCTTAGGACAACCATCGCCCAAAACACGACATGCTCACTCATCCTGGACCGGCCTGGTTCGCAAAAGCAATGCGCTCCGGCTGCTCGGACTGCTCGGAGACACCCGCCACGTCCGCCACGCCGGTGAATTGCCGCACCATGGCTGTGACAGCTCAGGTTGGCTCGATGTGCCCAGCTTTTTGGCTGGCAACTTCATGGAGAGCACTTTAAAACACTTCCGAGTTGTGAAACTCACCAAGTAACTTGGCGTCTGTCTTTTGCTAATCTTCTCCGTGCCTTCCTTGCCTGGCCTACTCTCTGCCTCGGAGCAGCCGCGAATTCCAAAGAACTAGTCTGATTTCATGGCCGCAAGCTATCCATTTTGATAGGACACTTCTTTTGGGGGGCAACCTCTCCGCCATTTGGCAGCGGAGCATGTTGAGTCAACCTCCCCGAAGTGTGCTAATTGCGGGGTTTCATCGAACGTCTGCATGTTGCGCGGACTGGAAGGCTCGCAGGCTTCCCATCGCGGGCGCCGATGAAAGCTGCTTCCTAGCATTTTCATGTGGGTGTGCAAATCGGGGACCCCTGAAATGGGTGTGGTCCGTTTGGTTTCCCTTGTTTGAACCATCCTGACAAGGGAAGAGCCACTCCCAAGAGCCACGCCCAGTTTGAAACGTCGTGTGACGTTTGTCAAACGGCTGGCCTGATGCTTCACGATCGCTTCGCAGACATCCGAAACGATCATCGGCAGGTCGACGCCTGCGATGCGTTGCTCGCCCAGCTTGCGATACCGCCGCACCAACTTGTTCCATTTGGTTTCTTCAGCCCCAGGTACGGTTAAACGCAGGGTTTGTTGAAACGGTGTCCTGGAAAAGTATCCAAAAAGGAATGTCCCAGGGAGGAAAAAGCAAAGCGCAAGCCGTTGGTCTGGCAACGATGACCGATGACTTGGCGCCGAGGAAAACATATCAAACGCTGGGCTCCCGGCTGGGATATGGCAAGGTGTGGCGCTCCCCAGATGCACTTATGGCAATCAAGGAGTACTCCTGGCTGGTCTGACCATTGGCTTGTTGTTGAGCTACCCCTTTTCAGCCATTGAAGGAAAACCACCAAGAAAACCGCCAACCGTTGCTTGGTCCACCCCCAGGATGCAGGGCCAGTCGGCCAAACTGGAGGTCCAACTTGGCCCCACAGCAGAACTGGTTTGACGCCTATGAAGCCATGTACTTGTGACCAAATCCTCCAGGTGGGTGTCCTGTTGGTTTCCGCCCCCAAAAGGGGACCACTCTGTGAAATCTTTGTCAAGTACTGCCTGAAACTAGCTCCTGACTATGATGTACCTGTGTGGTTCATCATGTCCTTTCTTGAATCCACGCGTAGCGCATCTGCCATCCATGTATATACAGCTGTCGTGTTTCCCGTGCCCTACATTCAAAAATTTACCAATGATATGCACGTAATGCATATGCTGCGAGGCACCCTCCCTCCCCACACAAACAGTAGTTTTCAAAAAGAAAACATATTTGCACTTGCACTCCGCTGGAACAGCGGCCATCACGTTTCTATTTGGTCTTGCAAGAGATAGCCCAGGTCAACCTCCAGCTTGGGTCAAAGCACAACTTACCCCAGGGCAAATAGTATGCATGATGCAACCCCAAAAACACATCTTCTGGGCTCCTTCCTTGAATTAGCAGGGAGTACTCCTTGAATACTTCAATCACAAAAGGCCCCCTGTGAGTGTTGTTGTTTTGTTCGAAGGAACGTTAGTTTGGTGGTTTCAGCATCCCTTTTAAGACAACCCCCTCTCTCCTTCACGATCTCCCACTTGTCATCGAGGAAGCCGCCCTCCACCTTGTCATTGGCGCTCAAATCGGAAAAGAACGAATTGGGACTCCCCAATTGGTGCATTCACACATGCAGCACTTGTGTGTTGTTCTGGTTGCTGTTTTGGCTCAAACGGTTTCCTGCCAGGCATCAACTCCGCAATCAATCCGGGTCAAATCAGGCCATCTCCGACAAAAAATACTGCCAACAAAGAGAGCGAGACCGCAGTAGCATCATCTCCACGGGGACCTATGTTTACCAACAATTATATAATATACTGAGGATGCTCTCAATGCAAAATTCACAGCCATAGGAACTCTCACACTGAGCCGCGCACTCCAATGGCCATCTTTGTGGGCTCTTTTGCATCTGGCGAGTTTCTCAAACGCCGCACCGGCGTCTGCTTCGCTTGCTCAAGGGAAACATTTCCAGCTGACTTATGAGCCCCAGGAACAGTCAAAATGATGGCCCCAGACGCACCCTCTTTTTCAACAAGGCTGGAAGTGGACCAGAAGGCTTTAAGACAGCACACTTCCATTTTTGGTCAAGGGGGAAGCCAAAGCCTTGCGCAAAACCGTGTTGGATGCGTTGTTGGCCATTTCCGCAAAGGTCCCACCCTGCTCTTTTCGGGGCCCCTTTGTTGCCGTAAAGGGTTTGGATCCATACGCGATGACCCTGCTTTCCAAGCCAGTTTCGACGCATACCCTCAACTCAGAAAACGCTGGCCCTTATTTGGGCATGTTGCTCTTTGAAGGCCCATTTTGGGGGGTTGAACCGAAGGGGGGGGCAAAAACAAATTAGGCCATGCCCTCTGATCTGATCAATGTCCTTGTTTCCGGAAAACGCCATCTTCGCGAGACGCAAAGTTTCTTTCGCGAATCTTTCGCGACTCCATCGCCACGCCCTTTTGTTTGCAGCGCGGAGCCGTTGCGGCTGCTGCAGATATGCCGGCAATCGCAGTAGCCTTGTCCCACTTGCGCTGCCAGCCTTGCAGCGGCGTAGCAGTCGCCATCACTCTTGCGCGTGCCGGAGATGCGCGGAACCTTGGAACAAGCTCCGTCCATGGACTCCATGGGCTTTCGCCGCTCTTTCGCGGATCCTTCGCGAAACTTGCTCCAAATTTTATAGCCCACCCATTCTTTTGGCTTGCACCATTTCCAGCACAAGCAGGGAATCAAGAATGCAAGTACTGGCGTTGCATGGGGGGGGGGGGTCTGCAAATATGTAGCGCAAGCATGCCTCCAAGAACCCAACGTGGAATCTTTCGCGGAAAGCAATGATTCCTTCGCGAACTGCACGCCCCTCTTTTAGAGAATGAACAAATACAATCACCTTTCTGGGGCGATCCCCGCAGGTGCGCTGCTGCTCCACTCATCAGTGTACGTTTGTTTTTGGTAGCTGTACTTGCAATCCGTGAACGTGGAACTGACATAGACTATTCTTGGAACCAGCGCTTGCGCGGAGAGCCCGGCAAAGTTTGCAAGGAGGCGCTTGTTTTCAGCCCGCACAGTTCGTGGATTGCTGGCTCAATTGCAAGTCTGCGGTTGGGAAGGACATGGGGGGCCCTGCAACATCCAGGGGCCCGACGAAGCGCGGAAGATTGCGACTATGGGCTCAACTCCTTGCAAGTTGCAGCCGAACCCTGTGTCGGCTGTTTAGGCGCGCCGCGAAAAGCAGGCTGCTCCTCGCGCGTGTCTGGCAAGCGAACTTCCTGGCAAGCTTATTTCATGCTTCAACATGCTTTGCAGGACTCCGAAGGCGCACAAGTTAAGGCCGAAAGCAGCACAACCAAAGACACCTTGCTAGGTCGAGCTCTTCGCGACAGATGAGGTCCTGCAGGACGGCGGGCTGGCAGGTGTCGGTCTGCGCGCGAGAATCCAAGAGCGACCAAGTTGCATCCGGCGCGCTACTCCTTGCAATCCTTAAGTTGTTGGTGGGTGCGTGGGGGTGTCCTCGCTGCGCGGAAGGAGGGGAACCAGGGGCCTGAAGGGCGGCTGAGGCGGCGCTCGACTGCTGCCTTCTTGCGTCGAAGCTTGCGACAAAAGCTGCTGGCGCTGGAGGAAGCGTAACGGCCTGCCTCGCAGGGACGGCGTTGCGCGAGACAGGCCAGCGCGGCAAGAAGTTTGAAGCCTGCTGGCAAGCTTCCCCGCGGCCCCGGCTGCAGCCTCAACAGCCTCTGCCGCTTCGACCTGGGCTTCAAGGCTGACGCCGGCCGACTGGCCCCCCGCCAAGCTTGGCGGGGGGCCAGGCTTTCGTTTCCGTCACGCGCGCTAGCCACGCAGACGCTTGAGCAAGGTCTTGCGCCAAGGACGTGTTCAATGTGGAAATTCAAGTCCTTGGCCAAAAATGGACAAGAAAAGGTAGCCTTCTTGCCCCACGCCCAAGCAATCCCAACTAGTATATCATCTTTGTGAACATTGGCGAAAGAATGTGAAACCTGAGCTGACTGCATCTTTGCTGGATCAACTAATTTTATAAGGCCAGAACATGCCAGCAAATCCCAGCAATAAGCGCCCAACAGCTCACCGGCAACAAACGGACAACCGAGTTGGAACGGTTGGAAGCAGCTGCGAGACGCGGGCATTAAACATAATTGCATGCCATTTGCAGGCACGCCCAGAAGCTGCCAGCTGGCTAAACTTGTATATCTAACACGAGGGTGCCCAAGGTCAAAGAGTTTGTTTAAGGAGCTCTCCATCCACCAAAGAAAGCCCAAAGGCGAACAAACTGAAAAAGGACAAGCCCAAAAAGAGAACCCCAAAGAGGGAATCCCCCATCTCCATCACATGCCCAAAAACCCAGCATTCGCGCCTGGGTCTTTGGGCTTCTCCTCGCGACGGAACTTCTGCAGAAGGTAGAGCCCGCCTGGCGCCCCAGGTTTTGCTGGACACGTCACCCGCAAAAGAAACGTGACCTAGGCAAACATGTGACATTTCAAGCTCAAAGGGAAACATAGGGACCCCTCTAGCCCAAACATGTGCCAGTGTGCAAGCAATTAATGGTTCTACATATGTCTCGACATTCGCTTGATATGTCACATTGTATTTCGCCCAAGTTTGCAGATCAAATTTGTTTGCAATTCATGTCCAACACAACGTGGCATTAAAGTCACAATGAAAACCTGGCATCAAAAAGGCCGACTCGAGCACATGTGAAGAAAGAAAAGGGTGGCGCCACCCATTTGCGGTGACTGTCCCCCTGCAACCCTCCAATTACCGGGGTTTGATTATGGCTCTGGTCAACTCAGCGATCAAACCCGCCCAAACGGCCGAAGTCGCCTTTGCCGCCTCTCTGCACGTCGAGGTCGAGCATATCTGACGCTGGGCAGCGAGAAAAGCGATTTTGTTGGTGGAAGACCGCCATGCCAATGGCCTACTCTCCAGAACCTTGCTGGGTTGATAAAAGAGCATGTTCCTGTAAGAGGCTTCATGTTTGTTGGTGGGAGGGTTGGAGTTGACTTGTTCACTAGTCCCACTTTGTCAAATCGCCACGCCCTGCTTGTCCGGGCTCTTCAAAACGGAGCGTTGGCCAATCCAATTGGACTACTACAAAGGGGCCCCTTTGGCACCCCAAGGAAGGATTGCGTTTGACCCCTCGGTTGGTCCAGCAGCCCCTGAGAGAAAGTGAACGCTTGGAAGCTTCCTGCCTGCAGCCACACCCTGCCAGGTGCGCAGGTTCACCTGACTGCCAAATGAGGACCCAGGGGCAATGAAACCTGTGCCTCAAATCAGCAACAACCTGGTAAAGTCACATTTGACGTCTCAAATGATTCTTGCCATGAGCAATCATGGTATTTTCTGTACCCACATGTCTCAGAATGAGCAATCATGGTACTTTTCTGGTGGTCAAAACCCACGGAAAAGAAAGAAGATCGTGCCCCTGCATCTATCTACCCAGGTTGGATTGTGTCTCGAGATGAGCCGGACCTGTTGGTCTCCTGGTTTCTCCATGAAAACCATCCGGACGAAAAACAATGAAGAACAACTGACCTCTGCAGGTTCACACTGGACAAAACACCCCCTAATGATCATGGCTCTCCGAGAATTCCTGGTCTAAATTCCCGAAAGGGTCCGCGACCATCCCTACCGTCTTTGGACCATGGCATAGTGGCTCATCTTTTTCTAGGGGGCCCCCAAAATTGTGGTGTTCCTCTTGGTTTCCCTTAAGCCAACCACAAAAGGGTAATGCCCTCAACTCAAAAAACGACACACACACACACACACACACAACTACTTGTGAAATCATAGCAGCTGAGCCGGCCACAGCCAGGCCGCCTTCACTGAAAGGAGTATCCTCGGGTTGCGCACATAGCACAAAGACAAGTTGCCAAACACCAACTGAAAAACGAGATTGTCCAGTTGCCCAGTGAAAAAATAATGGGTTTGGGCTAAATGTCCTGCAGAAATTCAATTCAGGTGGCTCTCTAGCATGAAGGACCGCTTTCCTGAAGGTGTCCATCCTTGCCAACTGAAGGGGGAGGTGTTCGGAACTGGCAAAATGCCATTTGCAAAAAGGGCTTTTGGACCTGGCATTGCTTGATTGTTCTGCTGACTGGGGTCCCGGCAAAAGTGTAGATGCACTCGTCTTTGTAGACCTGAGCATCCGGCCCCCGAGACGTCGTGAGTTCTGAATCGCCTGGCCATCGCCTTTACCCTTTTTGGGTTCCCTGACAAACCACTATCTGGAGACCCTTTGGCGCACATCGTTGTGGTGGTGTCTGATGAAATTTACTGCCATGTTTGACTTTAATAAAAAAGAACATAGGAACCCCAGTCTTGGGGTCTGATTATCCCCAATCCAGCCAGGCTAAACACCCCACGTCGCCTTGTCGTAGTGCTGCGGCACCTGCACCAGGCATCTTGACCCTGAATCCGTTCATCTGTGATCCTTTCATTGGTTTCCTTTGGTCTTTGGTATCCCTTGGTATCCCTTGGCTTCCCGTTGGTTTCCCTTCAAACAATAGGGGAGGGGCATGATTGTGGGACATAATCCGAGATCTGCGATACCAAAGTCGGATTCCCATCCCCGTGACTACACAGAAAGCAGCCCTGAAAGCCCCATTTTCCACGAGCAAGTCTGCGGTGGGACATCACCACGGCCAGGGAAACCCTACCATCTGGCATAAGGATTCAGAGAATAACTTGGAACAACCACGGACTCCCTTTCGGGAAGGTTCAAAAGCGCAACCACGGCCACGCCTGCACGCTCAAGTGGCAAGGACAAACAAGAGCAAGCAATCCCTGTTCCTTGATATTGATAACAGTTCCGTGGCAAATACATCCTCATGTCACCGGATCTGATAGATCAGCTGATGCGCGTGATGCGCAAAACTGCCAACATGTACAAGGCAGTGACAAATCAAAGCCGCACACTATAAACAGCGCACTTTACAGCTATACTATATGTCTAACATAGAGGGACACCCCCCCCTCCCGGAAAACAATGAGGTCTTGTTTTGTGTTAGGGTGACGAGTACTGTAGGGTGTCGAGTACTGGTGACTGGGGTTGGGCCAGGCTGGGTTTCAGATTGGTTCGCCGGGTTTTCGGTTGCTTACATTGCTTATCTGCAAGCACCGAGGAGCTCAGCGCTCGGCGATCCGAGCGCTTAAGTGAGCGTCTGCGGTTGCTCATCTGGGGGTAAGATGAACTCAGCCATGAAGGCCCTTCAAATACGAAGATTCTCTGTTTCCAGTTTGCGTCTTATGGTAATTGCGGTGCAAGTTAGGGGATGTTGGCCGGGGTCCGGATGATGACTGTAACGAATTGGTGTTCGGGATTCTTGCATATGTGGGAGTGGCAAAGCGAATCTCAAGCTCACTAAATTGCTATGCTTTCGTTTGAATTGGGAAGCCCTTGTATTATACATGAAGTCTGCAGGCGCGGCCAGTTACACTATTCCCCCTGGCTTGGTCAATGAGCCGCCAGGCCGCAAGTCATGCATGTGTTACTTAGTGAGGGACTATTTTCAGTTTGGAAAAGCCGAAACGGCCCAAGGTCGGACCAAAAAGGCATCAACTGTTGTCTCAACATGGCAGTGGAACCCCAAAATGCCGGGGGAGGGGGGGGTTGGTCCTTTTGCTTCCGCTTTAAACCAACCTCAAAAAATAGTCGCCCAAGACACAACCCCCTCCATCCAGCCTGCAGGCCACTCATCAGCGATCTCACCAGCTCCATGGCGGCTGGCAGCCAGAGTTTCGGGTCCCACGAAATCCCAACGCTCGCCGGCGAGCGAGTCGAACGCTGGCTGAACGTTGGGTCGAACGCTGGCTGACGCTGACGCTCTCTTCAGTCTGCTTTTGAGCTCAAAGCTTCAGACTCGGATCAGACATGGCAAGGAGAATGAGCCTGCGGCAGGCGAATCTGCACTGACACGGCGCTGGAAGAATTGGAAGCTTGGACACAAACCTCGCGTATGCTGGAGTTGTTTGTGATGGATACCCAGGAGTAATCAACCTGGTAGATTGATAGATAGGGGTCCCATTTCAGAGAAAACCCGTGACAGGTCAACTAATCATTCTGAAGTCGGCAGCTGTAACTTCCAGGCAGTGGGGCCTTTGGGCTCAGCACGTCGCAGAGCCTCTATGTGGCAATTTCCGCGCGTTTTATGAGAAACTGTGAACCGAGTCATGAAACACAGCACTGCACGTGCTCGTCTTCATACACCCATCCACCATCAAGAACAAACATAAAAGCCGTTGAAGAACCCGTAGTGCCTTTAAGAGAATGAACCGGTGGGTGGGGTGGGAGCAATCCCGGGCTAATTTTAATGTACATTCAGCAGCGTAGCATGACTCCTCACATGCCAGTCTCTGTCGCCTCGGGGTGCGATGCAACTTCTCTAAGAAACCAGGAGCCGGACAAGGCTAGTTGGATAACTTCCTGCGTGTTGTGTAGCTGGTTGCCATGACTCCAACCGCTAGGCCGGCGGCTGATTCTCCGAGCCTGGAGTGAGTGACCATCTGACATACCCGATACAGCTGCCACATTGGGAGGTTCCCCGGAAAACGGATGGGCCATAGTTGGGGCTCGGGGCTCCACTCACTGAAATTGATATTATAGAGAAGCGGTCGACCCAAGACCCCGTAGGCACCAAGAGGGCGAATATGCGCACCTATGTCTGGATCTCCTACTATCTGGGTTTGATTCTGGCTCTGGTCTTGGCGCCTCCCGGCTTTTGAACCCTGCCCTCTCATGCAACTCTTGATGGCTTGGTTTGGACATGAACCTGTAGAGCTTATTGAGGGCAAAAGGAAACCCTTCCCACCCTCCAAACCACCAAGCCAACTTGCCAAGTCAGCTGATCTTACGTTAACTTTCCGAAACAAAACACGCTGCTCCGGAAAGAAAGAAAGAAAAAAAAGAAGAAAAAAAAGAAAAACAGAGAGCGGAACACGCGCGAAACCCAAACCCAGGAGTGGCGCTTCCGACCAATCTGGCGCTGTTGGGGGCAGGCCTTCAAGAAGGCCCCCGGGGCTCCATGGTTGTCTTACCAAAAAAAAATCCAACCCCAAACACAGGTGGCCTGTTGGAAAAATCGATGGCCCTGGGAAATGGAATAACCCCCGTCTAAACCAGGGCCCTCCATTTTTTATCCAAGCCACCCAAAAAGGGCACCTATGACCCCAAAATGGATCAGCATCGCGGTTTAGTCCCCCTCGGCAACCAAATACCTTGGCCGGAAAAGTCAACCTCTCGCCAACAGGTGAACTGGAGGACACCCCTTCAAGGGCAAACCAAAAAGAAAAACTGCTTAAGGCCTGACCAAATAACACTGGATCCGTCAAAGTAACATCCTCAAACTTTTTCAGATGGTGGCTTTACAACCCTTGGTATGCTGGCAAACTACTCTCTTTTTGCAGCCCCCCTAATAAAAATGAACAGAACCCCAAAACCTAAACACTTGTCAACAACAGTGAAGGTGGTTTCAAGGGTTTCAGCTTCCCCACGCGCCTCTTCAGCGCGGAGTCCCGATCCAGGCCGTCCAGCAATGCAGGCAGGAACACCGCCGACACCTTGAAACGGACGAGACGCCGGTGAAATGGCTGTGGTGGGCAAAACCAATGGGATCCCATTTTGGGGTGGGTGAATTCACCACCCATTTTAGAACCCATTTTAGTGGGGATTGGGATGTTCCCTGCAGGTACGAATTGGATTTTGACCCATGGCCGAATGGGGTTCTCTCTAAAACTAAGGCAGCCCCAAAAGTCGGTGGGTTTACCTGTTTTTGGTCTTGCCCTTAAAACTAAGGGGTCTTGCTAAAGAAGACACACCCAAATGTGGTCTTTGTTCATTGATGTTTACGTGGCTTCCCCTTCAAAAGATAAGGGGAGCATGGTTGTGTAATATGACCCGAAATCTGTGTTGCCTGGGTTGGGCGATTCAGCCTCGTACCGCACCCCGCCCCCCCCCCCCCCCCCATGTCCTCTGTCCTCCTCAAACCAACGGTGGACGTTCAAACACATGTTACCATGTATTAAACTATTCATCAGGGTTGGGCGATTCAACCCCTTGTTTTAACCCTTTTTGGCTTGAGCACCCGACTTTTGGTTTACCTTAGAGTCTGATTGTTGCAGCAAATGCTGCACAAGCCTGTTTGGCCCAATCCATTGAAACAAGTTTGGGGGTCCATACCCTCCCACCAACAAACATGGTTTGGCGCACAGGGTCTTTTGAAGGACGTGTTTCCCTCTTGGAAAGGGGGCCTGCACGTCTGTTGGTGCGTTTTCACAGGAAAGCGGAACCCCTGCTCGAGAGGCGGGATCCTGGGCTTCGGCACCAAGAACCGAAGCCGGAATGACTTGTGGGGAAGCCTTTGGCATTTTGCCGCGGAGGTCGTGTGAAGATCGAAGCCTGGAGTTCTCTTGTCCCGAGAAGTCCATTGCCAATTGCCAATTGCCGAGCACGGCCTCAATGAAGGCGTCGTGGTTGTTTTTGGCTCTCAAGATGGGGCCCTGTTGATCAACAGATTGCTCGGTCATCACGGCAAAATCGACCATGATCAAACAAATATGCCAAGTGGATGGTGCAAACCTGGGCCGAGGATAGCCTCCATGGAAGCTGACATGCGAAGGTTTCGGCTGACCCAAAGGGAAGGCATCGTCCCCCACAAATGCCACTAGAGCCGAGTGTGGCACATACAGCGCAACGCCGATGCCAGTGATGAGTGGCAGTGTGGCCTGGCAAATGGAGCCATTCCAGAGATGGGCGGGTCACCTGTGTTTTGAAGGTACCCTTTTGGGGCCTTGAAGGAAAACAAATGGAGAACCATCATTTTCGCTTCCATATTTAAACACACCCGAATGGCGCCTTGACCCGAATGTGCATTCCCAAGATTTCGTCATGTCTCACGGGTGTAATGCAGAAAACTATGGCACACAGCAATCATGGTACAGGCGGGATGTTCTGCAAACAAGGCAACACACAACATGCAGTGCAGTGCTGTTTTCAGAGTCGGCACCATTTGGTAGAGCTTGAAAAAGAAACCAAAGGGCCACCCCCGCGTTTGAACGTTTGTTTTGCGGAGACACCTCGTTTTGAACATGACCAGCGTCAATCATGAACGCTTGGGGCACCAGATCTGGCAGGAGAGGACCCTGGTAGACAACTCTAGCCATGTTGAATGGAGCTTGAGAGGGCCAATACTTTCCCATATAGTAGACACATGATACAAGGTGAGAAGGCAAATCCATGAGCAAGAGTCACCTTCTGCCTCTCAAAGCTCATTTGACACGATGTTGTGGCAAATGCAAGGCAGCGCCGGCAACTGCGTCAGTCAGCTCGAAGGACAGTTCTCGTGCAACCAACTGAAAGATTTCCCCAAACCAGAACCACGGCAACGAAGTCAAATGTATTAGCCACGACCCCGCAGCGACTATCAAATGGTTGGCCAAGTGACCTCGTTTGGCGATTTTTTGGGGCCCCGGACAAGTACTAACCTCCATCTTCCGACGGACCTCCTGCCTGCCGCTTCACTTAAGCCCTTCCACCCTTAGTAGTCCTTCTCATCCACACGTGTGTTTGGTTGGAGGGCACCCTAGTTACTAGGACCCTTGGCTTTTCAAGGGCAACAGGGAGACCACTGCTGTGGATCCTCTATGTAACCTCTATGAACCCCTCATGGTGTACTCTTCTGCTCTCACCTTGTCAAGGCCGCCTGTTTGAGGCCGCCTGTATCCAGACCGCGGGTCCAACCTTCGCGGCCACGATTGCGCGCCTCGTAGCTTTCTCCGCCGGCCAGCTCCACAGCCAAGACCACGGAGGTGATCGGAACCTCAAGCTTCAGGTTCATTCAGATGTCTCGAAAAGCCGAAAAGCGGCGGCTTCGTTTGCCCTTTTTGAGGCTTCCCTCTAAAACAAATTCCCACAGAGGGCACCAACTCAAAACAAGACAATGGTGGGGAGTCTGGTTTTGGGTGAATCATGCAAATGGAAGACCTCCCGGACTCCGCTTTTTGAGGGTTCACCTTTTGGCGTGGGCAAAAAAGAAAACACATCACAGATCACAGGGACTCAACCCAATACTGGTGCGTCCTATTTTGAGGTTACAATTGTTGGGAGTTGCAAAGGCCTGTACTTGACACCCAACAACCCCGTTCTGATTGCAATGAAATCAGAACGGGGGTGGGGGGTGTTGAAACGTGAGTCATGTCAAACATCCGGTGTTGAACTCTCATCCGGCAAACCACATGAAATGACACATGTGCAGGAAGGGTGCGGCGGAGCCAACTCTCCCATGCGACATTAGCAGAAGCAATCCTGAAAACTGCACTTGGGAGAGGCATCTCCTTTGGGGACGGACCTAACAGAGATAGAACCTCAAAATGGGGGCCCGGGCTTTCTTCTCAAAGAATTCTTCGGGCTCGGGCGAGTCTCTGCAGTTGAAATCCCATAAGATCGGCACGCTGCAGTTGGCAGCAAGCATGGCGGCCATGCCCACGACGATATACGTGGGAGTGGCCTTAGTTGAACTGAGTCGAAGATCACATAAAACCATTTCTCAAGCACAAAAACGGCTTTTTTTTTAATTTCCCGTCCAATATCTTTCTTTGGAGGGCACGGTTTCAAAGGAAACTGGCGAGGGGGAGGTCTTTTTTCAGCCTACCCTGTTTGGTGTGGGCTTGCCTATTTTGAGGGTGCCCCTTTTTGTTTGCTCAAAAGGGAGCCAAAGTGGGACACACAAATTTACAGGCAGGTAGGCCAGCTAAAGAGCAGACTATTGTGAGGGTTGATTTCCCATTCTCTACCCGTCCGTTCTTCCGTTCAGAAAACGGCCATTCCCCCCAGGTGTGTTTTTGCTGCCGAAGGGAAGCATCCCTGAACAGAATGGACAAGTTCCATGCCCCAAACACATACACACCCACACACACACACACAAACAAACAAACAAACAAACAAACACACAAACATACAGACATAGGTGTCCTTTAGGGGAAATAGATGGCCCTGGTAGATGATTAAACCACCAGGTAAACCAGGGCCATCTATTTTTCTACCAAAACACACAGACAAACACACAAACATACGGACATCCACACAAACACACACCTCTTGACTCGCCAAGGAGCGGAGTGCGCGAAGGCCGCACCCTGCGCCGGAGACTCACCATGTCTCCAGATGGAACCCCCCTCCTTGTGTTTTCCGCGGTCTTGAGACAAACCGTTTCTGGGATTCGGATTTGCGATTTGTCCCTTTGATGTTCCCTTTAAACAGCCAAACAAAAGGGTAATTACCCGCAAAAAGCGACACACTCAAATAACAAATTGGCCAGTTTGGGTTCTCCCCAAGGGTGCCTACGGCTTCCCAGCAAATGGGTAAGTCTCAAAATAGAGAACCCCCCTCAATTTTCAACGGGTGAATTTCATGGGTTTCCCCTTAACGCAACCCAAAAAAGGATCCCCCCCCAACCGACGTCACATGGCCTCTATCAGCCGTCCGAGCGCACCGCCCAAGCAGGCGCCGATATAGATCGAGGGAGCAAATGTACCTCTGCCCGGCAGCGGGAACCAGTGTCCCCAAACCACTGCCCCCTAGGGAAAATGATGTGTATATTTATATATGTATATATTTTGTTCAGAAAACAAATGTTTAATGTACGTAAAGGTTGCAAAGGAGAGTGCAATGCCTTTTTGTGTTGGGGGGTTAGTGGTTTGGGGGTGGTGGAACTCCTCTTCGAACCACAAACAGTGCATGCGCTGGAACTCAATTGCCACAAAACCTGCTCGATGACATTTTCTGTGAACCTGCCAGTCGACCCCTAAACAGCGGCAGTCCCCCTTTTCTCTTTGGCGGTACCCAAACCCTTTCTGTTTGAAAGGGATTCGGCCAAAGGACCAATCTGTCCGACGGCCGCCGCCCGAGGAACCAGTCAGGAGAGTATTCTCGGAGAGACACGTCGCGTGCTCGAAACCAGTTTGATCAATCGAAAGCGCCTCTGCGCATCCGGGTCTTTTCGAGCTTCTGGTTGTTTGGGCCCAACCAAAAAGGTTTCTATGGAGGTCGACGAATCGGCTCAGGGTTGCACCACCAGGCCCCCTTGATGAAACCCCAAAGCGCACCTCCCACCAGGCCAGTCGTGGAAGAGAAGGCGGTGCAAATCAGCTTCAGCACCTGCCAAGGGGTTCGATTCGAGGCCTCGCTTCAGCCATGGTCTGGCCCTGGGGCCAAACACCATGAAGATCCCTGGTGTTTGAAAAGAACGATGGTTGAAAAGCATGGAAAAGGAAGCCAGTTCCAGTATTCGCAAATCTTACGATCATTCCCAAGCCTGAAGTAAAGAGCCCCCAAGTCAAGGACATTCATGGTCAACTTTGAGCTCCAGTCTAGGATTGGTGGGTTTGATTGGTGGATGCCCCGTTTTACCCTTGAAGCAACCCAACAACAAAACCACATACCAACTATGAACACTGACACACTCATATATGAAATTGGCCGTACGTTAGGATGACGTCTTCGCGTGGTGCTTGCTGTCAGGCATACTGTTGACCCCGAATTGCCAAACCCGTCCCATAGGGGGTGGTTCCCTCTTCGCTGAACCCAAAAGCAGGAACCCCCCAAATCAAAGTCCACAAGTTCTGCCCTACCCACCAAATCAACAGGAGCGAACTGACCCCAAAAAAATGACAACCTCCCCCCTTGCTTAAACTGCACATTCCCCCCCCCTCCCCCAGAAACTGGGAGGGTCCCTCGGCTCGACAGGCGCGCGCCACCTCGGCCCGCGCGAAACGAACCGAACGAAAACCCCGCGCCATGATGGCCAGCAGCGCCCCCGCGCCCAGCAGCCCCACGGAGCCCCGCTCCTGGCTCGATCGTGGGGAGGAAGGGACACCAAAACCCTCTTCTTTTTGTTTGGGGGGGGCGGGGTGGAATTTTGGGGGGGAGGAGGTTGTTTTGTTTTTTGTGTGGGGTAGGGGGGGTGGGGGGGTTCTTCTTCTTCTTCGTCTTCTTCTTCTTTATTTGGTTTGAGGGGAAGGGGGGTTGTTGAGGGGGTCTCCTAGTGGGGTGATAACCTTTGGAAGCTTTACATCACGACATGAGGACCAAATTCGAACCCAGGACGGTCACAAGGCCGATTCGCCTTGCGATGAAACCCCGCGTCCTGCATCAAAGGCTCCAGGGACAGGTTGGAGGCAGCCGCTTGCAGCGGCGCGGAGGCGTCCTTCAGCACCTCGTTCACCGCCTCAGTGGCCAAGAAAAGTCCAAAGCATTTAAACGGCCATGGGTCAAACCGTTTTCGTACCATTTTGGGGTAGGTGCACCACCCATTTTGGATTCAAATAGGGGTGCAATTAAGCGGGTGGGTTGGGGCGGGGGGGGCTTCCCCCCCCATGATGTTCGAAGAAGTGATGATTCAAATAATTAGGGAGGAACTAATGATGCTGATGATGCGGGAAGCCAAATCCAAAAACCAATGAAAGGGTGCAACAGCCAAAAAAGCCCAGAGAGGAACTGTGAAAACAGAGGATGCAAAAATCCAAAGCCCCCAACAACCGCAAAAACCAGCGAAAAGCCGCAAAAGCCAAAACGCCACCTGCCGAAGAGGAACTGGGAATGCAGAGGATGCGAAAAGCCAAAGCCAAGAAGCCGAGAAGCCAAGAAGCCAAAAGCGAGAAAGAAAAAAAAAGAACAAAAAACACATCCTAAAATAAATACCCCTCCAATTAAATTTTAGCGCATGGTTATATTTACCAGGATTCCATTTTGGGTGCCCATTTTTGACCCACAGCCATTTGCTCCCATTCTCTTACTAGGAATCTTGATCATGACCAGTTCTACTATCCCCGAAGTGTCTTTTGACCACGGCGTGTTCGAAGTTACAACTGGCTCCGCCCGGAGGCAGCGTTACTCTGCCAGCATTTGGGTTGGTGTTCGTCTACCATGTCCTTTCAGAATTCAGGGTAGCTCCTCAGCCCCCTCTTACGCTCTTTACGCTCTTTACGGGCACATCAGAATACCCACAGCTCGCTTATGGCTCCCTTCCAACCAATCTGATTCTCACTGAGAGAATGGGGACCAAAAAGGGCAGCGTTTCTTTGAGTACCCCAAGGAGGCTTGCACAGTTCCTACGGTTACGGTTGGTTTTCACAAGGCGAACCCCTTTCCTGTTCCCCCCCCACCCTGTTGGGACCCGCATCTTCATTTCCAAATACGCCCATATCCTTTGACACACACACACACACACCCTCTACTTCAGTGGATTGATGTGCACCAACACGCAAAAACAATAATTGATTCTGTTTCAACTGTATTTCGTTTGTTTTATGTCAGAACAGAACCAAATGGCTGGGTTTCATTTCGAGACACGCCCTTTCGGGCACTTTGGGATTGGTTCCCTGGGCCAGGCACCCCGAAACCGTCGAACTGCACGCGGCTGCAGGTGACCAACGAGAGGAGCACCGTCACTGCCGCGCCCGCCTCGGCTTCGAGCGTTTCGGAAACCGGAGGAAGTGACCGGTGCTCTTTTCGGCCGCGAAAAAAGACTCTGCCGCAAGGAGTCGCCTCAAAAGGTGGACTCTCATGCAATGTCTCCCTCGCACTAGGTCGCGAACATGGCACCTGACAGGGTTCCAAGTACCATCCCAGGCATGGCTCCTGAGGGACCCCTGTAACCGATAGGGGACCAGCAAAAGCAAACACCCCATCAGTATCCTCCGTCGCTCGAAAAAAATGAGGGGGAGTTCCTATGTCGTATGATGGGCACATAGGGTCTGCTTCGTAACCAGCCTCTTTTGCAGGGTTCCCTGAATGCATCCACAAACCTCGTCAAGGAAATGGATTCTCTAAATCAGCCAGTATTTGGGGCTTTTTTTCACTGGCCCAGCAGAAACCGAGCCACACCAACCAAACAAATCACCGAACCAAACCAAACAAACCAAGCCAAACCAAACCAACAAACAAACAAGCAAACAAACAAACAAAGAACCAAACAAACCGAACCAAGCCAAACAACCCAAGCCAACCCAAGCCAAACAAACAAACAAACAAACAAGCAAAACAAACAAACAGAACCAAGCCAAACAAACCAAGCCAAACCCAACGAACAAACCAAATCAAACCAAACACAACAACGACCACACCTCAAAACAATGTGTCCCAACTCCAAGCTGAGCACCCTGCCATAGGCAACCAAACGCTGGGCACACCTCCTTGCTTCATGAAGTCCATCACGTCCCGGCTCCTCCCCCAGGTGGGCGATGAACAACTTGTTTAAACATGGGCCCAGATCGGTGTTCAACAGATTTCCCTCAAAGCAAAGGGGTTTAGTCCATGAAACTTCGTTTGGCATCCTTTTTGTTTCGATTCCACGTGGGTAGCCATATTGTTGCCTAACCCTGTCCTGGCCACCACTTTCTTGTAGCCATAGGCCACAAATCCTGACGAAGGATGTGCCAAGCCAAAAAAACGGAGCTTGCCATGCGTCGAGCTCTTGATTCAAAAACGTTTAAGCATGGGTATGTATCAAAATAGGGGGTCCCTTTCAACCACGCCAAAGAGGTCCCTCAACAACGCAAACACACAAAGAAAAAACAACATCTCAGAGTCAAACATCGAAATGTCTAAGAGTATCCCTGAGATTCCAAGCTCCATTCAAAAATGGGGGTTGGCATAACCACCAGTGGAGTTTCATCTAAATTGGGTCAACCAGGCGCCAACCATGCTTTTGACCGGGGGTTGAGTTGCCTAGGAATCCGCATATTATCTCTCTGAACCGAGTTGCAGCCCGAACAGCAACCCTTCCCTGACGACCGGCATGCAGGCCTGAAAGCACACCGAGCAGCAGGAAGAACAAGAGCTCCTCAGCCGATTCGAACCTCAAACGTCCCTGCAATTTCGTGGGCCTCCTTATTTGGCCATGGGTCAAAATCCCGTACCCCCAAGTGAACATCCCAATCCCCACTAAAATAGACTAAAATGAGTGGTGCACCTACCCCAAAATGGTACCATTGGTGTTGACCCACAGCCATGTTGATCGGGAAGCGCTCAACCGATGCTACCCAAAGTAACCCTCAGAGGCGCATGGGTTCCAGGCGCATGGGTTCCAGGCTGCTGGGGAAAGCCTTTTTTTGGTGAAAGTCGATGGGACCATTGAACCCCAAATGAGGTAAAGCCATCGACCAGCTGTGGTTGATTGGTCCACTTCCCCCCACTTCCCAAAAGGTTCTCGTCTGCACAAAAAAGTTCCTGTGAGTCACAATCTAAACCTGATACAACACCATGGTAATTAATCCGCATCTCTGTGGCTGCGACAGTCCCCAGTTGATTTCCTGCTATTGAACATTTCGACCGAGCATCAAATTTCTTTAGACGTCTCCCAAATAAACACATCCTTACGGCAGAATCTCAGACGGTGCGTTTTCAGATTACCTTGTATCGGGGGGGGGGGGGGACTTGGGAAGCTGAATCGACACAGTTCTTTGATTCGGCGCTTGTCCCGGTCCCACAGCCCCAGCGACCAGCGCCAGGGCTGAGCGTTTCTTGTTTCAACCTCCTGGGTGTGCGTGTTAAAATAGGGGACCCCTCAAAATGGCTGCGGCTGGTTTCCTTTTGGCTTCCCTTTAAACCAACCACGGGGGTCTCTTCAAAACACAAAGCGACATGGGACGCAGCCGCGGCTTGCCGCTGGGATGCTAAGCCGCTGGGTCTCGCGCAAAGTTCCCGCCATCCCACTCGAACTGGGTGGCCTTGATGGCGGGCCCGCCCTGAGCACGCGGGCCGGCCCCCCCAAAGAGTCGTCTCTCGTTGGGGGAGGCTTGGTGGTGGTGGTTTTAAGGGAAACCAAAGGGACGCCACCCCGAATTGGGGGAGGGCCTGTACTTCAAAAATGTAACGGGTGGTCTTGGTTCTGATACTGGGAACCCTGTTTCCTGCCTAAGGCTGCGAGAAAGGGTCCTCAAAAGACCATGGCGCTTGTTAGCTTGAATTTGATTGGGGTGCCTTTTGCTGAACAATTGTTTTGTGTTTTTGTGTCCACCGACCACAGTCGAGGTCCTTCAATAAAACTGCTAACCGGCCTTGTTCCAAATGCATCTATTCCATAATCCCGCACTGGGACACCACTGCACGGAAACCCGCTACCATTTGGCAGAAGGATTAAGGATTCATCCGTACGGATTTTGAAAATATCAGCCTAAAGAATCACGCTACTTTCACGTATTGGTCGTTGGACAAAAGTTTCAGGCAGGACCGCGGAAGAAAGCCGGGCAATGCCAAATCTGAGCACTGCGCAGGAAAGAAGGACTGAACTACTGCTGCACTGACAGCTGCAGCCAAAAGCCTGCAGCGCAAGGTCTTGGCAATGCATGAATCTGACATGGAATCCTATTCGGACCACACTCTGCACATTCCCTCCTTATAACTTATAGGTGTGTCTTATGTATTTTTTGAGGGCACCCTGCTGGGGCTGGTTTGAAGGCAAATGGAACCGCCAAGGCAAACCCACAGTGGTGGGGTGCTGAGGCTGGTCTAAACAGATACCAAAGGGAACACCACCAGTTTGGGGGTCCTGTCTTGACACAAAACACACACATACTCACTCTCGCCGATTTGAAGCTCTGCATGACTGGCCTGGTAGTCAGATCCAGCTGGTTGTCATCTGCAGGTCGCACCACCTGTTCCGAGACCACCTTTCTCGGAGCCTTCTGGGACTGCCTTCTTTGGGGCGGGCCGATCGGAAAGTCGATATAGTGAGTCCATACGTAGTGAACACAGTGAAGCTTGAAATGCAACCAAGGGTCAACGAGACTACAGCATGCTAGCCGTTGATCGGGGGCAAGGGATCCTTTGCAGCTCCTAGCTCCCAGGATGTGTGGCGAAATGTCAGCAGCCAAGCAATACGATGGCTTCTGCGTGCCTTTTGTGATGGAATTCTTTGTTTGGGGTGTCTTAAAGGGAAGCCAAACGGTCGCCACCTATTTGGGCTTCTCCTATTTGAGACAAAACCAGAAAGGCGATATATTGGCTGTTTGGAAGGGTTGTGGATAGAAAAAAAGCAAGAACATTCCAAAGATGCGATGGGATTGCTTAAGCGCCTCAGCTGCAAAGAAAATGCCGGCGATTGGCGCATTGAAACCTCGCTGGCTGAAGCGATGGAGTCGCTGCCCAAGGCAACTAAGCCTAAGAAGAATGTGGGTGCGTCTTCTTTGGATTGAGGGAAGCCTGTTTGGGTCAGATTGAAAGGGAAACCAAAATCGACCCCCGCCCTTGTTGGGTTTCCCGATTTTGAGACAAACCATGACAAACCTGGAGGGGTTTTCCGGACACCAGGCCCAGAAAGCCAGACCTGCAGGTCCAGGCTTCCCATGTTTCCCCCTTTGCTGGGTTCTAAACATCGTGGTTCTGAGCGGTCCACGACCACACCTACCAACCCCAAATCAACGGGGTGCTCTGACCATGGCGCTAATAATGAAGCTGAGAGCTGCGAGCCGGGAGCCGCGCCCGCAGCAACACCGGCGGCAGCACCGGAGGCCAAGAGCGCGTCCGGGTTCTGATTGATCCTGCGAGGAACCGATCCTTCCCGAGTCACAAGCAAAACCTTTTTGGGTGCGTCTTAAAACGGCTCCATTGATCACAAATGGGTGGGATAACCCCATAAACCCAAAAAAGGAACACACAACAGAAGACAAACACATACTCAAGTGGTCTGCCCCTGGGGAAGTAGGGTGCTTTGGTTTGCCTTTGGTTCAAAGTAAAAGTTAGGAGGACCCAGACTTCAATTGCTGAAAGGGCGGCCATACCTATATATGGCTGGGCTTGCCGCCCTTCACCTACCCGGGCTTTGAAACCTGGGAGAAATACTTGTAAACCTAGGGATCCTAAGGATAAGGCTAAGGGCAACCCAGTTGCCCAGTGACCCTAGGAGAAAAAGGACTTTTGTTGCGATTCGTTTCATTTTTGGCGGGGAGCACGCCAAACAAAAAGGGAAAGCAGGTGCTGCTGGACAGCAGCGCTTTCGACAGCGAACGGCCCCTGGGCTTGAAATCAACGCACTCATCTGTCATCTTTTTGGAACCATCTCAAAAAGGCGGCAAAGGTCGCCAGGCTTCCAGAAAGGGAACCTGAGTTACTTTCCCGCTTCAGCCACCTGGCACTCACAACCGCGCCGCCGGCGCCGCCCCGCCTGGCCAAGGAGCCCTCGGAGCGCCCGCCGCAGGCCTCGAAGGAGCGGCGGTCCACGCTCCACAGCACCGCGTCGCTCCTGGCCTGGCGAACGCGGCGCCGGAGACTCGACCCGACCTTCGGAGATTCCAAAGACGCAGAAGCGCGGGGGGGACGAGATCCGGTCACAAAACCCTCTTGCAACTTTCCGAAAGCCGAGAAAGGAAAAGAATTGGAGCCGCTTCTTCTTGGTGTTGGCCACTTTTAGTGAGAAGCCCACTAAGCAAATGTTGAACTCCGAGCCCTCGAACGCTGCCCGAACCCCCGCCTTCACCGTGGCGGCGCGCGGCGCCCGGAACAGCACCGCGAGCTCGCCCACCACCGAGCCGCTGTCGGTGTAGGCGAAGACCTCGCTGCGGTGAGCAGGTATCACCGAAGCCTTTCTAAACATGGAACCCCCGCTGTTTAGAATTTGATTTATTATATGTATTATGTATTATGTTCACTTTGGTGCAAAAAGAAAAAGGAACCTCCATAAACTGCTGTTTGGCTTATTTTGGTTTAAGTAGAAAGAGCATTTTCGCGCTTCGCGTGGAGCTCAAGTGAGTGTTTGTTGGCGGCAGGGTAATCAGGTGCAGAATTGAGGCAAGGACTTTCTTCTCCCCTGCACCTTCTGGCACATACACATCCAGTTCACCTGACTTCCTGAGCAGCTGACACAGGAAATGCTCAGGCTCAGGAAATCCACGTACATGCAATTCACAAGCGTCAGGTGCTGCTATGACAGGACCCGCCAAGAACGCGCTGCAATTGCAGGCAAGGTTCGTAACAAAGAGGCCAGGTTCTTCGTCGTCGACCTTGGATTCTAACCGCGCCCTGCATCGAAGCCCCCCCCTTCCCAGCAATGACTGTCAAATGGCCCAAAGAAGGTCACTTCACAAACCGGCACTGCACACTGCGCTCAAGCAACCCCTCGCGCTTCTTCAATCTCTTGTAACCAAAACGGCTCTCCCTTTGACAACCACTCCTACGTCTCTTCCTGCCACTCCCGAAAAAAAAGCCGAGTTTGCCGCCTGATCGCCGTGCGTCATGAGGGTGTCGCCGGCTTTGAAGCGCACCTGGCCAGCTGAGAAAGGTACCTTTTCGCCTGTGGAACTCAGTGAGCCTTTGACAGAAGTTGGATCAACTTCCCTCTAATTGGTGGTTTGGAACCCGGTGGCTTGGTGGTCAAGGGCGGTCAACCAGGGGTTCAAATCCCCAAACCACCAATCCAAACCACCAACTAGGGGTTACCTGATTGGATATGTCTCAAAACAAGTCATTCACCTGAATAATACGGCTGCCATTCCTGGCTTGTGGGGGCAGCGTACCGTTCCCGCCCCCGTCCTCGCGGAAGAAAGTCAGCAGGCGGTCAAGTTCCTGCACCGTTGCAAGGCTGTAAATATTTGGGTCTGCCAAAATAGGGGGGCCAACAGAATGACAGCTTTTCGCCTTGGTTTCCATCTATACCAAGCTGAAAAGGGTACCCTTCGCCTCAAAGCCCCTGTACACGCGCAAACAAAACACACACACACACACACAAAAAAAAAAAGAAGGACGGGTGGCCCGCAGAAAAAGCAAGCCGCCTATTTGGCTCTGGCTGTGGCTCAATGGTTTTCCCAAACAAACGGTTAGTAGAGAAAACAACAATACAATAAGCAGTTTTCTAGGTCCGATGTTCTTTAGCATGAAAGATTGGACTGGGCCTCTTGAAGCTTGTGCTTCGCACCAAGAGATGAGGTGTTTCACCTGGTTCGCCCACAGGGGACATCGGAAAGGTGGCATGAGAATATGGGTCAAAATTAAACACCCAGAAAACCGCAGGAAACTGGTCCATGTTCCATTTACCATGGCAAGCCATTTTGGGGTTTCCCTATTTTTGACCCACAGCCATGTGTGGGTTGACTCTTCCCCCAACCTGGCTCTTCCCGACTCGGACTCGCTCCTTGCCCGGAAGGCTTGCCACCACCTTCGAGCCCGCCAGGGCTTTCTCGATCAGCACCCGATCCTCAAGCTGAAACTCTGGGCCTGCCTAGTGGTTTCCCCGCATCCCCTCACAAACCCTTAACAAAATATATATTTCCCTCAAGGCATGTCGAGAAGAAAGGCTCTCAAATAAGGGCTACTCTGCAGACTAACATGGAACGTACAGTAGTTGCTCAGAGGAAACGCCGTTCGCTGGGCTCTTTGTGGGCTCCATGGTGAATTTGGAGGATCTGTCTTGAAGGATGCAGCTATTCGATGATTATGAATGTCACTCGTTCAAATAGCTGGAGATACAAGATTAATCTCTGTTCAGTTGTGCAGTTGAATAAGTGAAGTCAGCAACAACAAATAATTCAACAGTGTTTATTCTACTCAAACAACGGCGTACGCAAGATCAGCTGTGCAACTGCACAGTTTCCCGAAGATCTCTGCAGCATGATACCTCTGACTCCACAACAGAAGGGTAGCAAGTTTGCTAAAAGTTCAGGCCCGGCTGGGTCCAGTTGCTGTTTTGAGTATCATCTGAAAATGTCTCAACTGTGTTT